TAAAGTTTATTTCCCCTCTCCTTACCTCCCTCTTTCTTCTGTCCTCACCCTTTCTCCTCTTGCATACCAGTGATCATTGGTACTGGAGAAAGCAATAAGTGGGCTGCTCAGGAAGGGATGAGAGATGTTCTTCTATAATCCCAAACGCCCCGTGAAGGAGCATATTTTGCCTTCAACCATCATGGGGCAACCATTCCAGCAGTACCAAGTGCTAAAGTGAGAAGGCACACAGTATGCTGCTTTACTCACCTGCTCCACTGCCCAATCCTCTGCATGCCTTGGGACTTAATTCTAAGATTTTTCAAATCTTAAGAAGCTCACAGTGACACAATTTAGAAACCAACTCTCTTGCTTGTGTCCAATGCTGAACTAGCAGCGAGAAACTGCTTCTCTTCACTGACTGCATTTGATGTGTGTTCAAAATGGATTGCTGTTTCTTACTTATTTAAGATCAAACAAGAAGGGAGTCTAGCTCCGGAGGCACCTGGGTAATAATCCACTTGTGCTTTGTGAGATACAGGAAGATGGAAAGCCAAAGAACCTGAAGAAGTTGCCAATTTCCAGAGGCTATCAGAGATAATTCTAGTGGAAAACTCCACAGAAAGGCAATGGGAACATCCCCAGGGAATATACAGCCTTTACTGATGATTTCAGATGATTTCTGCTATTCTAGGAAAGAAAAGGGAAGGTTAAAAATCCTGACAGAAATAAAGAAAGAAATGTGCAGAGACTGAAACAATGTCCGCTTTTTCAGTAAGTAAAAAAATACCATGAACAGCAAAAATTAAGAGGGATTCCCAGCCCTACAGAGCCTCTGTGATCCCTCCTCTGGAACTTGGTGTTCTCAATAGAACAGATGCATTTATCAAATCAGAAGAGCGTGGAGATGGGATTAGTCTGAAGCAACTAAGGTATTATTTATTCATTGTCTATAAATCTATCAAGGCACCAACTTTCACTTACCTCTTCAAAATTCTAATTCAGAAGCAAGAGCCCAACTAAGAGACAGACTTGGTATCTGGGCACGTTTTCCCCAACAAAAACAAAACACTACCAACCCAATTATTCAATTCCTCCCACCAAGCCAAATGGACTCAAAAGCCATGCAGTCCCTTTCCATGTTCATTTCACAGTGCTAGTGAATCCTCCCTCACACTTCTGTTCTTACATCAGCTACTGTGGGCACTAATGGGCACACGCACATGTGCACACATGTGCACACTCTGCCACGGGGGAAAATGGATGCATATGAATGAGAAGTGCAGCTTTTGGTTTGGATCATTGAGTATGGTTATGCTGCAATTAATATAGGCCTCAAGAAGCGAAGAAGTGACTCTGAATGATCTCTTCGTTCCCCTGACCTTGGTGATGGCTAAATGTTTGCTCCCCATATTCCTCCAATAGCCTAAAGACCCAGAGGAGGACAGCAGATGTAGTGAAACCAATTACACCTATTTTTCCTTTTCCTAAGGCAAAAGGAAGCAAAGTTATCCTAAGAAAGGAGGTTTCTGTTGTTCTGTGGTGCCTTATTAGCTTTACCTATCTGAACAAAGGGCCAAAGAAACCCTTAGTCAGCAGCTACATCATAGCTGACCACATAAAGTGGGGAAAATTAAGGAGAAAAAAAAGCACGCATCTCCTTTAAAGTATCACATCCTGTTTAAAGCATAAGCCAGATCTAAGCTGGAAATGTTCCAGTCCAAGGTGCATCACACACATGCTTTTTCTTGAAACATATTTGTAACAGTTGCAGCCCTTGTACTGAATTGCAGTCTTCTACCATTTGGGACTTTTACCATTAAGGCAATGGTCTGGCTCCATGAATGTGCTCCTTTATTATTCCATCCATGATATCTCATCCTCACGTGTGGCAGGATAAGTCTCGTGCTTTTCAGACCATACACTTGAGGGAACACTTCAGTTGGGAACAAGCATGTTCTCTTGACAACATAAGGCCTAGCTTAGGAAGGGATTTCAGGATGTGCCTGAGCCCAGAAAAGCAGGCTGATGCCATCTTAAGATGAGGAAGCAAATGGGTCCCGTTGCTTGTTACACAAAAAGAGAAGTAGCAGTCCTGAAGCAGATGGTTCCTTTTCACATTTGGTCTGGCAATCCAAAAACTATGCAGTCAAATAAAAGACCTCTTTAAATCCTCTGCCTGAGCCCACAATCAAACTTGCACAAATACCCACATGTCTGCTTCAAGGGAAATAGCCCTCTGAAAGGGAACGTAATCAGCAAGGTAATCAGCTGACTATACCTACCCTTTCCATGGAGGAAAAGGATCTTCCAATTTAAGCACATGAATTTAAGAACACTAGGGAAAACACAGTTCTTGGGAAGACCTAATGAATTAAGCCCATGTCCCACACGTGTCCATGAAGACATTTTCTTCCTCACTCAACAAAGGGAGAAATCCATGAGTGCCACAAATGCCACTACAAATCCAGTCACCTATAAAATCAGGCTACAAACCTAGACACTCAAACATTGATTTAGTTATCAAAGTGTAATATCAAGGTACAGAATCCAGATCACTTGACCCCAAACCTCTGTTCTATCCATCACAATGTTGTTCTGCCTCTCCTTCTTCCCTTGATGAACAAGTAGACCATCCTAACAGAGCCTTCCCCTTGCTCAGAGCTCACCTACAAGCTACCACTGTTTGTGCGTCTATTTCAGAAGTTTTCTTAACTCCTGACAGTTTTCTTTGTGTCCACTTCAGAGGCAAACAAGCTAAGCATGCAAAGGAGAAGGATGAGAGCAAGGATCTATGCAGATTTTTTTCCTTCTGGTCCCTGGAGAGAAGTGTTGCTGTAAAAAGCCTTTGCCTTTTAAGAGGAAAGTAGACACCTCACAGCTGATTCTAGGACTGAAGGAGTTCAGATCAGACATAATAAACTTTAACTCAGACAAACGTTACCCTTTGTCAAAGGAAAAATGTTTTTAATAGGACACATGGTGCTACAGGACTTCTCTGTCCCATGGATTCTGAAATGTACTAAGATTAAAAGGTAGCGCAGAAGAGACTAAGCCCTTTGAAGGCTGTCTGGTAAGACAGGCTCTTTCCAGAGGAAAGAGATATTTCCTGGAAAACACTGGCAATCAACACTTTAGAGTAAAACTAGTGCAATGCAGTGACTTGTTTAACTTTATTTTCAGCCTAAGAAGCAACAGATAGATAAAAGAAAAATAAGCTATAGGAAACAAGCTGAGTAGCAGGGTCCAGCAGAGAGAATGGAGGGCCAGGATTTGCAATACCCAAGTCCTTCGCCAGACTGCCTAAGCTTTATCTTCTTAGAAGTTCTAAGCCATACTGTCAGCTCCAGTGTCAACACGGCTTTTAGTTCCAAGTAAATCATTCGGCCTTTCTCTGTGATTCAGCTTTTCTGTCAACTGCATCAATGCCTGCTGCCCTGCTGGGGATTGCATGGAGAACAAGCTTGGGCAGGTCCCCTGTACATAAGTTAATCTTGCTCCCTTCTGTGCTTTTCATGCCATGGCAAGAGAATCTGGAGTCTGTTGTATTCAGGTGCTAGAGCCTGATCTATATCAGTACTCAGAGAGGAGTGGACTCTAATCTTTCCCTCTCTGCCATAAAAAGAATTCAACTGTTCATGAATATGCAGAACTCTCTTTAGACACCAGAAACAAATGCCTGCATTTTCTAGAGCATGCCGTGCTTTGCATGTGTCCCTCACAAACAAAGCTGCAAATGCTTTCATTCGTGTATGTTTCTTCTTTGCTTTTGAATAATTATTTTTTTCCTACAGGAGTCCTGAGCTGCTCTACTTTATCCTGTGCTGACAGTCACCCTCACAGACACCAGTAAACATAAATCTACAGACCTGGCAGAAGAAAGGTAATCTTAGAAAATGTGCTTTTGTTCTTCTCCCTAACAAATGTATAATGCTTTCATTTCACTTTGAAAATGGAAAGAGAGACACAGTTATGATTAAAAATGTTTAAATTTACCATTTCCCTGTGCTTAAAATGGTTTCCAGGGAAAAAAACATGTCAGAAGTCACACAGTGCAGATCCACTCCTAAAACCTGCCAGCTCACCAGGCAACACACATGCATTTCTAAGACTGCCTGTGTGCAAGCTGCACGGTCCCACCACTGCATGTGAATGATGGGAACGAAGGGGGTAAATGATGGGAACGAAGATCCTGTTTAGTTCTCTCTTCAGTCTTGAGCAAATTCACAGGTTAAGGCCAAGATTTTCCAAAAAATAAAATAAAATAAAATAAAATAAAATAAAATAAAATAAAATAAAATAAAAACCTATTTGCAAAGGAAATGTCCAGAATTATTAGTTACTTTTGAAAGTCCTGCAACTAAATGTGATATTCTCCTGCATATGACTGCTAGGTGGCTGACTTTTTGAGAATAGTTTGACCAAATCATCTTTATCTTGATCTTTCAAATAGTTAGAGATGTGCTTTGCCTGACGACAGCTCAGGCTCTTAATTATGAGCTTAAGTCTTTTCTTTTACCTTACCCTGTGTATCTGCTGATCTCAGAGTACCTACAAAGGGACAGAAAGTGTCATTGCTCTCATGTTACCAAGACAGAAACAGAAAGAGGTTCGCATTGCTTAAGTGTGATGGCCAATGACCAAATCAGGAATCCAGCTAGGTACTGCTCTGTTCACTAAATACAAAAAAAAGCTTATGAAATGGGTAGAGAAGACATTATAACTGATTCTAAATAAAATCATCTCAGGTTTGTTATATGCTAACCCACCTGGAGAGAGGAATTTAGTTGTCTGGGGAACAACTGTGTTGCAGATATTAATGCTGTAGTCTCTGGTATAAAGAGGCTTGGTCAGTGATGCGGAGAGGGTGGCTAAATCGTGCTAAGGATTTTTTTCTTTTCCTAAAGACAGAGTCCCCAGTAAAGAGAGGTGCCTGGGAAGATGCACAGCATACTTTTTCCTATTGTCAGCTCAGCTTCAAACCTACTGAATAACAGAACCAGCAGCCCCACTCATCTCAAGTGCTTCTGCACAGCCAGGGCTCCTTTCTGCTAATCCTAAAGCACTTCTTAAGACTACCTCTGCAGTCAGAAGAGGTCAGAAGAGCCGATCTAATGTCCTTCAGACTTTAAACTCTATAAAGAAAAAAAAAGAGAGAAATGTGTTAATTATATTAATTACGGTAAGGACAAAGAGCAAATAGGAGGATTATCTCCAACTCTATTAGACAAAATAACACGTCAAGAAGCATTTGAATATTTTGGTCCAGACTAAGTGGTATGTTCTTGCCTGATGTGAGACAGTGGCAGTATAGCCCTCATAACCAGACAGTGCAGCTAGGCTTATACTTGTTCTGAACTAGTGAGTTGATGCAAAACAGCCATAATATGCCAGAGACCACTCTCTCAGGACATTCTATATACGCAGAATGGGAGTGGGCAAAAAGCTAGTTTTCCTTCATCAGTATTTTTCATCAGTATTTTTCCTTCATCATTTACTTCTCCTCAAGTCAGTGAAGGAATGACGATTAATACCTGCTAAGGATCTGCACATGAATCTTAAGACCAGTATTTTAGATTCGTTCACATCTTGTTTGCCATAGAGCAATTCTCCTCTAGGAAGTCTCCTTGTACAGGAGGCAACTTATACATTCAGTTTCTCTCCTATATGCACATGCCTATCCATCATCAACAAATATTCTTTATTAGATACACAGCAAACTGATGACACAACAAGTCATTTTATTCACTTACTCAGGTTTGACACTGAAGGGCACTGAACAGCTGAAAAAATTATTTATAGGGAGTTCCACTTAATGTTATTCAGAACATCAGCGGTGCTTTTGCTATTTCTAAAGAGTGCTTAGAATAGCATTACCTCTTTGAAAGAATCTGTAGCAATGGGGAAAAGACAGCTAGCACGGTTTACATAAAACTAACAGTCATGTTATGCTCAAAAGCTTAAATTTATTGCTCTATTTAATGACTACCGTCAGTATTTTTAAAAAAGAACGCCAGTTCTTCCTGCTAGCTTCTCACTGAAGGAGGTATTTTAAATACAGCAATAAAATCAAGTGGTTTAAAGGTAACACATTTTGCCACACATTCATGCAAACCCTGCCGACAGGATTTTTACAGGTTCATGGATACAGAATAAACACAAAGGATATGCACTGAAACACTGGGAAACTTTCCCCACAGTGACAAAGTAAGTTGTAGGCATAACATTTCAGGCCCTACCCTGCGCCTGCTGACATCAATGGCAAAACCTCGGTGGAAGCAGGATCAGCCCTTATTGTTCTGAGTGCTGTTTTACCCTCTCCTGCTTAGCAAGTGTAGTAAATTCTCAATCTCCTGCACTAATAAAAGTGGTGGGTTTGGGTTATTGTTACAAAAAAAGAGAAGCAAAAGTATTTTTAGTAGATCATTACAGCTTTTATTCACAAAATGCGCATCTGCTCTTGTTAAGGATCTCTTATACCTCCCTTTCTTTCTTTGCTCAATAAAGAATCAAAACATGTGCTTACCTCTAAGCATTAAGCACAAATTTAAGTCTTCAGCCAGACTGAGGTCTAAAAAGAAAAGCAGGGGCAGCAGTTTGTATTATCTAAAAGGAAACACTGCTGCCCAGACAAGTGATTAGAAGGGGCTAATGATTGTCTAAATTTGGTTTGAGGGCAAATTTATTAAAAAAACGGTCAACACACTCAGGCTGAGATTTTTTTAAAGCTGCCTATAGGATTTACATTTCTAGTCTCATTACTGTTAATGAGCACTGGGCATCCAGTCACCCTCAAAGCTTTGAAACAAGTTTAAGTTCATAGAACACAAGGGATCTTATCACTACATTTTCAATAAAGATAAATTAAAGTCACAAAATTCCTCACATGACTTCAAACCTCAAATTTCAGGGAAAATTGTATTTGAATTGTGGTCTGACTCTATGTAAAAAGAGAAACTATTTGCAAAACTCACATCTGGATGTAGGCTGAGACTGCAAAATACCAACAAAGAAAAGGTAAAGCGACAAGTGTCTATGTTCAGATTGACTTCTCCTATTCACCTCAGATTCACCCCAGATTTTATGATTCTGGAGTACATTGCTGGAAGGAATTGCAGGTGAGAATTTGGCTCATGTTAATAAAATAATTTTTTCCCCTTAGTTCTGGTAACACTGGTGGTGACTTTTTAAAAAACAAACAAAAAAAACCCCCAAACAAGCAAACATGAGGTGTGAAACATCACTTCACTGTGAATCTACTTGAATCTTTCAATGCAGAGGCTCAGAAGGTTTACGATATACACAGTATTCGGTAATTTTATATGTAAAAACAATCAGAAAGAGGCAAAAAGTTACTTTCAAGCTTAGTTCAACATACGGTACATATTTCAGCATGACAATTCAAAAAGTTTCACACTGTATTTGGATATATTAGCAATTATCTTTTAAAAATAGCAAACTGAAGACAGTGGGGTTGTTTTTTTTGGATTTTGTAACAAATGAAGCTACTATTCTTATTTACAGTATAAATAAGCCTTTTTTGGTGAAGATTATGTCCTGTCACATATGTTTAAGACAAGGCATACCTCAGCTCTTAAATGTCAATGCAAACAAGAGCATAAAAGCAATATCAAAGTAAAATAGTATCTCTCTCTCTCTCTCTCTCTCTCCAGCTAAGACAGCCAGGTTACCATGTGTCTCTTATCAGATCTGAAATATATATGAATGCAGTCAAAAGTTCTCTTGGTTTTAGCCTTTAGGAATATCATGAACACTTATTCTTCTGCTGCTCTAGAAAGCTGTTTTCCATACAAGCTCATGACATGATGGACAAATTGATACTGTTCACAAGTCTGGATCATTCCTCCCCTGAAAAGGAAAGAAAAAAAGGGGAGGGAAACAGCAGCCTTATTACATGCAAATAACATATTAGCACATGGCACAGCTAACATGAAACTGGTGTTAGACACAAAAAGTCTATTCCTAAGCCTCCTGAAATGAAGGAACAAGTGCTCACTGATTGCAATCAGTTCACAGATTGACCTCGAGATCCACTCTGAAAGTCTCTGCTACAGAACAGGAATGGGCTTTACCTTCATTTTTCTAAGCAGAGGCCTTAAATCACTACGGACATCATCATAATTTGCATCCATATCACTGGAGTGCCTATACTCTAAGCACCATTCTAAGCACAGTGAAAAACAGCACCCACTGCAAAACTCTAAATGGACTGATGGGGCCAGGGGGAATAAAGAGGTGAAGTAGCCTCTCCAAGACTTTACAGACATGCTAGGGACCAAATTCAGGACTACAAAGGGCTAGGGCAGCCCAGTGAACCAATGCAGCACACAACTTCCCCACTCTGGAATGAGGGATCTAAAAGCGAGCCCATCCCGGGCCGTGCTTTTGGCAAGACCACCAAGGAATCAGGAATGGCTAACAAGTTTTTTTTTTTTTTTTAATAGAAAAAGGAATTTTAACAAAAGACAAATCAAAATGGTAGCTAAATTTACTAATCAAGGTGTGGATAGTAGTCAAGACCCTCAGCACAGAAATTCGTGCTTTGGTTCAGCTTTCCTTTCAGCTTTTGCTGTTCTCTTTAAAACTGCAAACCTGAAAGTAAATGCAAGTAAGAGCAGAAATATAATTTGCTTTTCCATGTATCATTAACCTACGCATTTCTGCAAACAGCATGTTAACAAAATGCATAGTATTAAAGTAGGAGACAGAAATTAACCAAAAGAACAAGGATAAAGTTGTCCATTTTAAGCAGATTTTACTAGCACTTTAAATTCTGCTAAGAGTACCTCAGCAAGTGATATGATCCCTTGATAACCTATTACAAAAATAATTAAAACCTGTTGCTCAAATTCTCAGAAGGTTTATGCAGAATTGTGCCAGTAGTAGCGCTGGTGCAGAGATCCAGGGAATGCAGTGCCAAAAAGAGGTGGAGACCACAAGTGGTGCTCAGGAACGTGGAAACCCATGGGTGGCTAGCACTAAAAGACTGTGTCAATTTGAGAAAGAGCATAGGTGGCCCTTTTCCTCTGAAACCCCCAACAAAGGAAATTAATGAAAAATTGCTTCCTCTGAGCCAAATGGATGGCAGACTGGCAGCACCCTCCTAAGGTGCTGTGGTCCAGCTCAGCAAATGTGGGTGCACGCTGTATTTAAATACACTTCTGTCAGTCATAAGGAACATTAGTCATATCTGGCACTTACTCTCCATGCAATGTTATTAACAGTGAGGTTTTACCCTGAAGTTGTAACAACAGAAGTGCCTAGGGTAGCCATCGAGTTTCAGAACGCAGGAAATGATTTTCCTTTTTATCTGGTTCCCTGCTCTGTGGTGGCTTCCTCCCCTTCCCACACACACACATGCACATATGCACACCTTGGCACGTGCTTGTTGTCCAGGCTTCGGCACAGAACAGAGAAATTAGATTTTCAACCTTGTTTAGCACAGAAACTTTTCAAATGCGAGTTGCATTGTGGGAAAGGACAGCAAATGTCTCTCAGCACCATGGGAAGGATGCAGGAATGACCAGTTCCTCTCCTTTGTCATACCAGACTATTTTAGGACCAAGTGTGGGCCACTACTTGCATAGCCCAACACACGGGCTTTTTGCAAGTGATCTGTGAGGGAATGAAGGGAAAGAAACATTTGTCCTTTTGCCCCCTCAGCAACCAGAGGGGATGCTTAGGGCTAGTGCCAACCCCTCTACTGCTGCGCATGCAGTGAGGTATATCCATTTACGTACCTGCTCTTGTCTGTACCCAATCCTCTTTCTCCAAGTCCCTGCTGACTAGTCCTCCCCACACATCTATTTTGTCTAGCCATCACCCACCAGCCAGGAGGGGGAGAAGGCAGAAAGGATCTTCCTCTCTGTAGCTGCTTGCTCTCATCCCCACATGATGCTCCCGGAGTCACCCGGAGATTTTGTGAGGTTTTAGTGAGAATGACAGTGTATGGCAACTCAGCTTCCAAGAGACTGCAAGCCCTGTTTTTTTCCCCCATTCCTTGAAGAAAATATGGTCTCCCATAGCGAGAATGGTGACTTGACTGCTTTCCCTCCTGTGATTATTCTGTCCCCTAAGATTTAAACGTTTTTTTCCTATCCCACCCCAAACCTGAGAGGCACATGGCAGCAAGAGGAGCCCCTACAGACTTCCCCTCTGTGGCTTCCTTTAACGTGATCTTTCTCCTCCCTCTGCAAATGACTGCCAGTTCTTCTCTCCCTGAAAGGCTAGTATTTTTAATTGGCCTTCTGTACCAAGCACATTTGTGAGCAGGTGTCTTCAACCTTCATTTGTATGGCTATTTGCCTGTGTAACATTATACACAGATACAAGATATTTCAGATCCAGCCAACTTCACTGGGCCATGAAAAACCAGCAGTCCCTATTCATATTCTGGTTTTCTTATTTCTCAAGAAGCCTTTCCTCATCTGCCTTGAAATCCACTGAAATAGCCAAACCTCCAGGCCCCTGCAGGTCCTTGTCTATCAGAGCCTCAGCAGGGCAGCAAGCATTTCATTTTCTGCCTCCCACTGAGCATAATTGCTCCTCTGAAATAAAGTTCAGCGTAGGGTTGAGGTTTTTTTTTCTTTTTTTTTAAGAAAAATCTTTGGTATGTTTTTCGTGACATCTCTTCCCCCGACTACATTTATCATTATCATTACAGAGAGCACTGAGACATGTTTTGATGGCACTTGAAACCAGTAGGAGAGGAAAAATAACATCTCTGGTGCAAAATTCAAGTCTGTTTACTTCATAATCAAACTCAAGGTGAAATGCTTATCTGGAAACCATTGAATTTCTGAGTTCTTTGCATCTCCTTTCATATGTCTGCAAACACTCCAGCCCATGCATGCTCTCCCCCTCCCTATGAGGCTCCAGGCAGCTGTGTCCTCCCACTAGTCCTCACAGCTGCAGCTATGCAAAGCCAGGTCTCTTAACTCCTGAGAGCAAAGCACAGATCTCTTGCTCTGAATCTGATTGCAGCACACCCTTTGAGCCTTTGCTTCTGGATAAAGAGGAGGACAACTCCAGGGATAAAAGGTTATCCCTTGCTGCACTGAAGTCTCTACAGCTGTGCAGATTTTCATGTCAGCTGTGGACCCAGCTCAGCTGCTAGGGTTGTTCTTTACAATTCGTTGCTCTCATAAAATAGGCAACGATTACAGGTCAGAACTGCTCAGAATGGGACAACTTCCCTTCAGGAACATTCTCCCTTGGCCTCCATGTGCCTTTGTTTTCCTCTCTCTTCCTGCTTCTCTTTAAGTAAAGATTAACGTTTTTCTTTTTATTTTTCCAGAAAGGAAACAGGCTGTCTTACCTGTCTAACCGTAACTGGCAGGCTGTTCGCAATATGTCAACTATGCCCTCGCTCTTCAGCTGTTTACAACAAACACTAGTGGCAATAAAGCAGCCAGTCCTTCCGATGCCTGCACTACAGAAGGGAAAAGGAGAGGCAGTGAAGATGTTAGAACTGCTTTGGAACATTCTTATTAAACGAACACCATTAAACCAACAATCAGATCCCATTAGCCCTTTCCTCTCTCCAAGCTCCGTCAGGTGTCGGATTGATGCCTGTGAATATAAAGCTGTAACTAAAAAAAGATATTAATTTCACTAGGACAACACAATTAAGCGTGAGCCACTCACACTAGAAGGGCGAACACTGCACATATAGTGCTAGAAATGGACTACCTGGCTTCTGTCTGCCCTCTTACGTAACTCTTTCTTTTAAAATAAGCAATTAAGCAGTGTTTCTTGGCTGCACTACGTTTGAGGGCAACCCTTGCTTTGAGAGTCTTAATCCTAACAGCTTCTTTGGAAGCTCTTTTCGTTCACAGATACTATAAAAGAAATTTTGCCTAAATAATTAGGGTCAACACCAATATGGTAAGTGCAATGCCATTTGCTGATCAGATCTGCAATCTCATAATTCTCTCATCTAGTGTAGGACACAAAAAATTCACCCTTAAATAAATTTCTTTTTCTTTCCTGAACACCTTTTATCTAATGTATTCCTTGTTTAATGACCAGAATTGATTTTACTCTCAAAAGCACAGTGCTATCAAAGCTGTGAATTCTTCTTACCACCTAATAAAGAACTGGCAGCAAAAGCTGACAGCCCATCTCACGTGCTAAATAATTAAGTGAGCATCCTCAGGAATAATTACCTGACACAACTGCAAGAAATCCTGCTTCCATTTAAATTGCGCTGAAGTCATAACACAAAAACACTGGCAACAAATGTACAAGCAACAACGGACTTTGCAGATAGCTGCTAGCAAAGTTCTAATAGGGTTTCTTTGACTGCACAGACAGGCTTTTGACTCCTCCTTTGTGTTGTTTAGGGAAACTACATTAGCAACAGCCACAGTAGAATCATTTTAAGCTGTAGTATAGAATGACCAAATCAAGGCAAGTCAATGGAAGCTGGGGGAACGGTCTTACTCCCTAAGAACTAATCTCAGTCTTCAAACAATTGTGATGGAGGTACCTAACTGACTTAGGATTTTTGTCCCTGAAACTGTCGGTGCATGCTTTGCAGATTCTTATCTTTTCCTGACTATAACTAGTGTTGTTTATCAAGATTTTAAACACTTCAGAGTACTCTTTGCTGCATGCAGATGCAAATCAATAGTTACAAAAAAGCCCTTCATCTTTCATATACCATAATCGAATTAACCAAGAGTATTTTACAAAGAGAGGGAATGACCCTCATTTTCACAGAAAGCAAACAGCACCCTGTCCCTGACCAAGCTGCAGGTCTCTCAGTGGCTGAGACATAAAACCATAATCCTCCCAAGACTGCACATGAGTGGCACCTTATTCACAGGACCATGACACGACTGTTAGCCTATCTTTAACATGAAGCTGCCATTAAGTATAGCTTCATGACTAGGCTTGTATTTATTCTTCTAAAGGTGTATTATCATTGAAGGCCAAAAACACAGTGATTATGTTCTACTGAGGGTGAAGCATCTCCCATGGAGGTCAAAGGAGCTACAGTATTCAGCACAGCACAAGTCTCGCTAATGGTTCACTGCACATACCACTCTCAAGTAGAGGCAGTATGTTGAAGCCCTTCTTTGGATAAAATGACTAACTGAGACTAATCTGAAATGGCTCTGGTCCCCAGCTATCACATAAAATACTTTAGAATCCTATCATCATGTCTCTTAGTAGTTATTTGAAATAAAAATGCCCCATTACACCCCAAATTGTTACTGTATCATGGAATGACACTATACAAGAAGACAAAACAAACATGCAAAGTAAGAGTGACACAGTGACCAGAATCTTTACCTGCAGCAAATACCATGAGTCTTCAATGAGCTCTTAGAGAATCACAGATTTCTAAGGACAACAGGGACCTGCTATGAGTGCTATAAACCATTTCAGTTATTTTTCTCTGAAATCCCCCCAGTTTGTCAAAATCTGTTTTAAAGCACTGGCACAAGAACTGGACATGAAACTTCAGTAAAGATTCACCAGTGCTGCACGTAGAGGTAATAGCAACTTTATATTTCTTCTTGGCTTTCCTCTTCCAGATCAAAGGAGTGTATTTGACCTCTCAGCTACATCATCACACAAGGAGCCCACATGCAACCAGATATCTAATACGACCTCTAAGGTTTTTTTACAAGTTACCTGCTTTCCAAGAAATGGTAACCCTAAGCATGACATCATTAATTGTTCTTAGACATACGATCTTTTCATTAGCTCCACTAGAATGCATCTTTTAAGTAATTCATTTCCTCAAACAATCCAGATCAACCAGAAAACTGTATGATTCCGATACTATTTAGGTAACATGGCATCGTAAGAACGTTTTACTACCTATTACTCTGTGTTTGCTTACAGATAGTTAATAAGGATGTTTGAGAACACTGGGGAACCAACAGGTCACAACAGAGTCCCTCTAAAAACATTTCCATTGCATGATACGACACCATTTGTTATAGCATTTGGATAGCTACCATCTGATTTTTCCTAGAAAATGTTATACAGACCTAGGTCAAATTTCTTACAGCTGTCCACTCCAGCAAAACAATTACTTTTATAAAAAATGTAAGTTTGGCCTAGATAAGTTTATTTTCCTTAAAAACGTGGAAGTTATCCCAGCAATGCTACTGCATCATCAGGCTTTCCACTACGTTGATAACTACTCACTGCAATCAACTTTGACACTACCTCATTTGTTTTATATATTGAAGTTAATTATTGTCTTCGGCCTAACAAAGGCTTTACGAAATCAAAGAAGCGACCTACAAAGCTGAGGGTTTTGAGGCTTCAAGTTAAATATTCTCATTTTTCTGCTTGCAATTCAATTTCATTCACATGTGTTCATCCTTGGTGACCGCGCTCTCTTAAGAGCATTCAATACATATATTACTGGTCAGGCAAACGAAATGAGACTATTATGACTTGCAACTAAGCCGCTACCAACTTCTGTGCTCAGTTAAGTTTGCATCTGTATATTGATTGCAACACTTCTTGACAATACAAAATTACCATCTCTAAATTTTAGAAAATCCAAGAATATTTCACAAGCAGTTGGACAAGATCTCCAGCACGTCTCTTACTGATTACTTACTGATACTGTCATTGAGTATGACAGCATCTGCAGCGTGCCACTGCATGCAAGGAAGCCCTGCGAAGTCAGATACGTTTATTTACCTGCAGTGAACAATCACTGGGGCATTCTTCTCTTCTGCATTCTGCATGGCCTCTTCCACTTCCAGTACTAACTGCAACAGAGGGGGAGCTTGATCTGGTGTCTTCTGGTCTGGCCAAGACGTATACCAGTAATGTTTCAGGTTTCTGACTTCTTCACCTTTCTGCAATCCAATTAGATAGACAGTTTAGACAAACATCACAAAGTTTTAAAGAGACTTCTGGTTATGAAGTGATAATGAAACCTAACCTTTTCTTTGAGAATGAGATGAATAAACTAATGCTAAAGTGAAGAGGAGATCCAAACAGCAACCCACACAACACAGAAATCTAGACTTCAAAGATCAACACTGCACCTCAGTGAACTGCCTTAACAAAAATCCACAAAACCCTCACTAAAATTCTTCTGCTCTTTTAGTGCCAAGAGCTGTGTGCAAAACAACTCTAGTCAGCCTGTTCTCCTCCTGACAGATTCATTCAGCAAAGCTGGAGCTCTGCTTGTGACATAATTGCTTTCATAATGCATGGAGCCAGGAGCCGTATCTCAGTCTTTTGATAGCTAGACGGCTAGATAGATAGATGAGAGAGAGAGAGAGAGAGAGAGAGAGAGAGAGAGAGAGAGAAGAAAGTTTATTTTTCTATCTCCTCTGACAGATAGGCTCATATCAGTTTCTCGTCACTTCTATGCTTCTCTTAGACGTGGTGAGAAATTCAGAGACACTGTGGAAGGTGGGAATTGTATTTAGCTGCAGTCCAGGGCTTCTTTTGTGACATAAATTCTGATTCTATCAATGTCTCAGCAAGGCTAGGAATATAGCAAAAATGCCGTTGTCATTTCTGAGCGCCAAGTAGCACTGTGTGCTTCTGATTTTATGTGTTCAAACTGACATCCTTCTGCATGATTTATAAAGGTGCCAAATCATAAAATGGAGCTCAGTGAATTGACCTTACCATCGCAGCCATTACATGAGCCAGCTGGCACTGGGCTACACAAATGTCTTCAAAAGGTCCAGGAATGTACGCTAGTTTCCACAGCCTTCTCTTAAACACATGGCTGGCTGAATTTGAGAAGGGAGGAAGAACGAACAACTTTGGCTCTTGCTGAAGAACGAGGCACAAAAATTTTGAAATACTTTCTGTTATCTAGACTTGTAAGTTCCTCTGACTGGCTGGCTCTTACAAAGAGCTCTGTGGCTGCCACTTCCCATTCTTCTCTTGGGCTGCAAATGCTTTTGTGTCACTTCATTGTGAACTGGATCAGGGAAGTGATCTACCTAAACTCTTTTTTTAAATCCTGCTGGATTCATTTTCAGCTGGATCAGTTTCACCCTCTGGCTTACCATAGAGTCACACTAATACTTGTGTTGGCACATGAGAGGAGATGGCACAAGGGTGGGGACAAGAGGCTAGGCAAAGGGAGGCTGGACTTCATTTAGTCACGGTTCCAGCTCATGCTGGTTTGAATTGATTATTAAAACAACTGTAGAAACCTTAAGGGTATGTCTAGCTCAGTTTAGGAGGAGAGAGTCTTACTGTTGCAGCACAGAGCCTCCCTTCAGCTCCCTTCTATTAACCCTGCTGAGAGGATGTTCTGGGTTAAGAGAGGAGATTAGTTGTCATGGAGCTCCAGGCTATCATGGTTAGATGAATAGCACCTGACCTCACTACAGTGAACTGCAGCAGGAACTTACATGAACATATACAGTCACTTTTGAATATGCGACTATGTGTGAGCCACCAAAGTTATGAATAATAGAGTCATTAAGTTGATTTTGAAAATTAGAATTAAAATGTTGTCAATAATACTGAGAGAAAAGCAAGAAGAGAAAAGCCATCTAAAGAAAAACATGAATCATTACAAAAAGTCACTCGTTTGGCAGAAACAAAAAGCAGCCAAAATTTTAATTTTGACAAATTTTAATTTGAAAACGCCAGCTGTCTTCACCTTTGTCCTTGCTGTTGCCAGTTTTACACTTCTGCTTAGGGAATCCTGACTTTGGTGATTCTGTACACTTTACTTTGACTTTAATAAAATATTCTTTATTGGTGCTTTCTTGAGCTTGAGAAGGCTTGGGAACACATAGGATGAAGCAAGATTTAAATGATGGTTTGAAGCCTACCATCATGTATGCTGTAGCTAAATCAGTGGCTAAACACTGGCTGGTTCCTCTGAAAAAGAAAACAAGCCTTGCCCTTGCAAAGCCTTTCTTGAGCATTTTCTAAAACCCTTGGCTTGCCAAATCCCGTCTCATGTGCAGAGAGAACTATGATAGTCCATCCTTTAACACATGCAGTAGCTGTATAGTGCTGGTGGTGGTATCATACATTTCTGGTCACTTAACCTCTCATTAACAGAATATAGGATTCAGTTCATGGCTTTTCTAGTTTTCACTGCCATGGCAGTTAGAATATGTATAGTCCAGAGTGGCTAACTCCACTACTGTTATTACATGACAAACTTACAGTTCTAGGCAACAGTAGCTTAACAGATGGAGCCTTTATTTCAGCTCTAGAATACAACAGTTCACCACCCAACATTTTTTTTGTGGGACTGCTCCACTGATGCTGGAAACCAAAGTGTTGCTTAACTGAAAAATAAACTGGAGATGTGAGCTTAAAGTAAATAATCAAAATAATCAAGTCATTTGAGCAGGAAGGACCTACATCCTTAGAAACATGTATTGCCAATAAGGCTTCAGTACTGCTTGTGACAGGAAACTATTTGTCTTCCTTGACTGCAATTGAGAAATGGTGGAACTTTTATATTTTTTTAATTTTGACTTCGCTGTACTTCGCTACTCTGGCTTTTCTTTTCTTCTTTCTGTTAGTGCCTGAGCATACTGGGTATGCCTGCCCTGACAAATAATTTGGCTTTCAGTTTGCTGACCTTTTTCTGCGGGATCCAGCACAGGCATATATGCAGGAAAGACATATGCATATCTGAGTCTAAATTCGGAAGCTCCTTCTCTAACATGAGAGAGTTACCTCAGAAAGAATTGAGCAAGGACAAGAGGATTTGGAACAACACTGAGACGTCGCTGTAGGAAGAAAACATTCTGCAGGGATGAGTATTAGCATGAAAGGTACTTGCAAGATGGGAGTGTGGCTTATTACACTTGTATTGTTGCATATGTATTTTATGCTTTCATTGTAAACTCTTCAGGACTATTTCTTTGTTATGAGCTGCTTATTGTGCAGCACCTGGTAAAATGAGATTCTTTCCCGGATATGCTAATACAATATTAATATTAAAAGCTGCTCCCTTGTAATTCCCATTTGAAAATGAGACTGGCTATTACCTTCATGAAAAAAATTTGAACAGTCCCTCCCCCATGAGGAGGAAAAAAAAAGTTTCCTTCCATGAAAGCAGAGAGAAGGTGGTTTTCTGTTAGAATAATTTGAAAATAAAGAAAATTCCAACTTAAAGCACTAAAGTTAATACCATGCTTAAGAAATGCAATATTCATTAATATTAAATGCTGTACTTAACTGTGACTTTTAAAACAATGATGAGGAAACTATTTTGGTAGAGATTGCAGATTTTTACTGAGGGAACGCTGTTCTGTCATCATAACTAAAAAAACTGACCAATTCTATAAGCTACTTTCATTCTAGTAGAATTAAGCTGAGTATTATTCTTTCTGCTGCACTGTACTGTCTGAGATAGACCGTATTTAAGACTGCTGCAAGCCTGCAACACACTTGAAACTCATCTTTACTTCGCACTTGTCAGAGTGTGTGATATTCTCCTTGCTATCTTTGCCAAAAGCATGAGTGACAGACTTTCCATGCTCTCAATCTAGACACAGGATTTCATATGCTGGCTTTCTGCTTATTAGCATATGGCTGAAACTGGTTGGATAAAGGAGGTTTTTTTCAGCCTAGAAAGAAAATGTGCTGTTACATTGAGGTCAGGTGTAGATCTGGTAGATAAACGACATGTAAAGGTTATGTAAATAGACTGTTCTTATAAAAATATGTAGCTCGAGACTCTAGAACCTAATGATGAAAACAGTTGTAGAATAAGACTAAAATGGTATTTTAGGTAAGTAGCAACTGAGTACTTAAAAATTAAATACATGCTGAAACTCTTTACCCACAAGATGACAGAATGGTTACTGGCATATAAAACTACACATCTAGTTAGCTGGAAGGATACTACGCTTAGAAATGTTGGCATGGGGGATGCTGCAGTGAAGTGTTTTTTTTAAAAGGGCATCAACAGTTTGTCTTAGACTAGAATGATCCATTAAAACTTCTTCAATGTCAAGTCAGTTGAATTACTCAGAATAAATTGTTGCATAAATTAGAATGTTACCTATTAAAAGGGGTTCAGCCATGGTGAACAGAAGTGGTGCTACCACACCACTGATAAATGACAAGCAGACCGGCTTCTCTACTGCTTAGAGAAACTGAAGCCAGGCAAGCAAAATTAAAAAGCTGTTTTGCTCAGTACTCCACTCTCCCACCTCTTGTTAGTAGCACAAAAGTCATTGCAGGTATAAAAAACTGGTGGGTACACAGCAGTCTGAGAGCATCTTAACAATGCCTCTACGAAGACAAGAAGTACAATCTAAATGTTTCCTGTACTACAGACGTACATACAGACCCCCAGTAGGGTAAATCAATAATGCTTTTTCTGCGTCAGTAGCCCAAAGCATACCCAAGCCTTTGAACTTTGCAGACAATCACCACAGAGTTTAGCAGGTTACTCTATAAGTGCTGTCTTAAGTATAACCTGCAAAGGCTGGTAAGAAGCTATCCTTGAGCTAACATGTCATTCTAAAAGACCATTCAACACAGAAGACATGGGCACAGAATGACTCATTGGTTTCTTCCAGTCAGTGAATCCATTACTACTGCAACTGCTCTGGAAATCTTCAGGCTGTACATACGCAGTCTAAATATCTGACTGCTTACATTAACGTACCCTTTGTATGTTGGTGAACTGGACAAAGCTGCAACAACTGCAGTAATGAAAAGAGGTATTTGTGCAGTAGTACACTGTGGAGAGGATTTCTACATAGCTCTCCATGAGCAGTCCTGTTTAATGGTTTAGATTTCCAAGCTATTTTAAGTACATTTGAATGATTTACCTTTAGGGTGATGAGCCTTAAACGGTAATCATCTGCTTGTATGACTTGGTTAACTGTGATTTCTATTCCTTCATAGGTGACCTGTTCCTCTGGCCAATATTCTGTGCATTTCTGTGTGCAATATAAAATAAATCTAGTTAAGCAGAAATCAAGGGAGGTTCATTTTTACTCCTCTGAAATCGGATATAGCACATGCACAGATGAATATGAATGAAGGTTGTTTCTATAATAAGTACGAGCTTTCACTTTCTAAAGAGGGACTACACTGCAGGTGTTTTTTGCTACACTCAGCCTGACCGCGCGATAAAAAAATGCACAAATAAAATAACTACTAATGACCGCTTCTAAATGCTCGCATCCTAATTTACCTTCATGCAAGGTGATATGCATTTTGAAGGTTCACTACAGAGACCAGTGGCAAGGTGTTTTCTTATTAATAACCTGGGTTTTTATATTAATTATTTTCTTATGATAGTCATTACTATTATGTACATTGATTATCAATATTTCTGTGGTATGCATAAATGGATATGGAAACACAAAATACATCTTTTCTATTTTGGATAAGGGCCATTGCTCTCTGAAGATCAAATTATCGTTTTCATAGGTTTTTGTACAGAAGAACATGATCGGAAATGTTTTAGGAATTCAGATTACGTACCAAAACCCACTTTAAATGGAAATAGAGATTCTTTCATCAAAGCTAAGGAACTGAAAGGAAGCAATAGCTGTAAGAGCTATTAGAATACTGCATCTAATTTCACCAAAACACACCCAGGGATGCAGCCTGCACAACCAGACAATTAGATAAGCCGAAGCTATAGTCCGCTTGCAAATGTCAGCTGTGGTACTGATACCCTAGACAGGAATAAAGGGGGAACCTGGAACACTCCTGCCCTGGAAAGACGACTGACAAAGACTGATTTTTTTTTTTTTTTGTATGCAATCTCTCATTAAGCTTGTCAGTAGGCAAGGGAAGAGACAAGCATTTTCAACAGTGGTGTAGGGACTGGTTCATGGAAGAGGATTTTCAAGTGGAATGGCATGAAGAAGGCAGGGTCTGAGATAAAGACTCCCTTGTGATAAAGGAAGAAACAACTTCTTGTTATCATAGGAGAATACGGATCTGCTGTTGCACAAAATCTGTTAAAGAGGATGTTCATAAGCTTCCTTTTTTGCATGACTGGGCACAATCTTGAAGTAGGGTAGCAAGTTAAATCATGTGTTGCTCTTTCCCACCAAAAATAATTCCACTTCAGAAGAAAGATAAACAATAGAAAAATATCTTGGAAAAGAACTGAGTCAAAATTGTTGTGTGGGAGAATCAGTGTTCTTCCATCTGCATAGCACCCCAGTTAATAACCCACTGGGAATGTGGCCCACTGTTTGTCTGTAAAAATTATTTACGCAGATTGTGTTTTTTCTTCCCTTCCTCTTAAACTGCAGAATCCATTGTAAAAATCGTCAAGTGCGCTAGCAACTATCAATAGCACAGACGTTGTTCTGCTTCAAAGAATGGAGTAAGATTGCCCACTCACTTCTGTGGGCTGTCAGTCAGTTCAGATTAGATGTGACAGAGGGCTGAGATACAGAGTTCTTCACACTCGTATTAGCAAAGTCACTGCACCAAGGAGAAACACAAAGCCTCTGTTACTAGCATCATGGGTGAACAAAGGTTTTGATTTTCAGTCTATATATTCTTGAGTCCTGTTATTCATATATTAATATGCATTATGGAAAAAAGGGAATGAGTGCAGGAAACATTCACATGAAAGCACTTACCCTATATTTATGGCTGAGATTCCTGACGTCGTTTAATTTTTGACACAAAAGGTATCAGAAAAGACTCAACAGCTCTGTTAACAATATACAGGCTGCAGCAAACTCCACTTATAGCGCAACAGCACTGCAGTGCACTGCTTCCCAAGGCTGATATGACAGGTGAAATACTTTGTCAGTGTACATAAGAGGAACTCTGGATGTAAAGGTTACTTTGCATTCCTGTTATACAGCCTTGCCTTAAAAGCTATAGTGGGAGAACTCCTCAGCAAGTACAACCTACAGGACCAGTATTTCCTCTGGCTTTTTTTCCTTCTTAAAAAGGGTGACGTTTTTCAAAGTGCTTAAATGATTCTGGTACTCTATGCCACAACACCATGTTATTTGCCATAAACTGGCCCCTCAGATCCATGAAAAAGTTATCACTTCAGCTCTGTAGTAACAAACTGTGCACCCCTCTTAGTTAGAGGCAGATGTGAGCTGAAATATGTTAATACAAATCTCAGCGAGGAAACATTCAGGCCAGCAACACACTATGCTTTGCATAGCGATATCCTAAGAACACCTGTCCAATCAGCTAGCTGTAAAAACTGATGGTTATTAATTTGTAAAGCATAGTAATTCTGTATGAGTCCATCTAGTTCATGTCTTTTTCACTGAAATTCAAGCTAGAGCAATTTACTTCACAATCGGGGAAAGCTAAAGGTTTCTGCACATATATAATTATGGGCACTCAGCTACCAGCTAGCAGTTAAGCCATCATAATTCAGCATGTATGACGGCATGCCCACATTCTTGGGTATCTAAGTGTCTAAAGCTTCTCCAAAGGAAACGATCTCACCTAAATTACTAATGGGTTCTCAGGAATGAGCTTTGACAAATAACTGCTGTTGCATTCTAAGAAATGCCACTTGGAGCTCTATACTTCACCTTGCTGCCAGGGGTGAGGGGGGCTGCAGAGACCAATACATGCCCAAACCACAGTCTCGCATCCTACTCTGCCAGTAAAGGTGGGCCTAAACTCGGATACCTGCCTGTGAATTGAAACTCGGACACGTGGTTTTGACAGCTCTACTATAGGGCAAGTATTTCAGCAGTTAATAATGAACAGCTGGAAGGCAGCAATATTCTAAACTGAAAATAATAATATGTTAGGTGGATTAGCAAAAACATTGTGAAGATTTAATTTCTAGAAGCACAAATTCCAGCAGGTGGTGAATAGAAAACTTAAGCACCTTAATCAATTTCAGTATTCCAGCAGCATTTCCTAGACATTCAGTAAGAGGGCCTCTGTACCCAAGTCAGCTGTAGTTGTTGGTCACTGTAACTAGTACGGTCCACAAATCAGGGGCAGCTTCAAAGAAAGGTGAATATAGGCATTGAACCATAATAAATGCAAGAAAAAGTAGTACTGACTCTGTTAAGTAAAGATATTCAACCTTAAAAATACGTAGGGATGGAGTGCTATTGCTTTGGACATCTTTACAGAGGACTTTAAAGAGTTTCTGCAAGTAGATCTGGGTTTATAGAGGCCTTAGGTCAGCTGGCAAAAATGGCAAAAATAGCAGTAGGCTAAGTCAGATAGCAAAACAAGACTTATAGTAACCTCACCCGAAAGCAGGAAAAACTCTTATCTTCTCTGAGCCTGAAGAATTTAATGCTGGCTCTGATAGCTCAGGCCACTGAACTAGCTTCTTTTCACTTATTTCCACAGGCTTAGCATCTGTGCTGAAAATATCTGCTAGAGTACAGATAAAAATATAGACTATATGTAACACCATTACCTCATTCATCTCTTCTATATTGGTAATCATGACAATGATGGGACAACGCTCCTGCCACACCATTCTCCAGAAATCACTTACAGTATTAACTATCGGTCCCTGAGTAGCAATATATACCTTCTCCTCTCCTCCATAGCCCTGCCAACAAAACAACAAGAGATCAGTTTTAACAGGGATGCCCACCACAACCTTGAGGGTTCAGTCTTTGTAAACAGAGAGCTACCACTGGTTGGAATGGAGACTTTGTGGCATCTATTCCTCCCCTCTCCATCTCTCTCCTGCACATGCATACATATGAGTAAAGGCAGAATATGGACTCTCATAATTCCAGTAATGAGAGTCCCATAGCCTTGAGGTGACTCTGGCTAGGTCAAGAGCCTTATTCAGGTTTGTTTTCCAGTGCCTTGGTCAGGCCAGCTGACAACCAATTCACATTAATAAGTGCAGAAGTGTGTTTTTGTAAGGTCTGAACCTGTATAGTTGTGCTTTAAGATTTGGTTTTCAGTTAATGTAAGCAGGAGAGAAGAGCAATTAGATCAGATAGGATGCCTTTAAAAGCCAGTGGATGTTGCAATTCTGTTTATGTTAACAGTGGCTGATAGAAGCCAGGGAGACATAGTGGACTGCTGAGTTCTTACCCTGATGTAGTTAGCATTGATGTAAGAGCTAAGAGGGTCGTCTTGATCAGCTGAGGTAAGGCACACTCTGCTGTGAGGATCTGAAATATGTAAAGAGATAAGCTACAGTTTATCAGTTGCTGAGAAGAGTCAATGAGAGAGACAAGACTATTTTGTACAGTCAGACATTCAGATGCATACATGGGCATCACAACAGATGGCAGTGGCTTTGGAGAGCTCCCATGTTAAAATGTTAACAAAAAAAGGGAAAGGATGGTTGGGGTCATTTTGTTCCCTCTGATAGTTTTACCTGCTCTCTGAAACCTTTTTTAGTTGTTCCTGTTGGAGAGTCAGGGTCACACAGTTACTCTGCAAAAGCAGTAACTTTTTAACTCTAGGAAAGTATTTCTGAATTTGTTAGGTCAACGGACACATCCTGGCTTGTAAGACGAACGGACACATCCTGGCTTGTAAGACGTTAGAATATTGTTTGTGAAAGGACAGCAACATCTTTTCTCCCAAACCATAAACACACATTCCTTGCCTGCAAGCAAGCAAGACGACAATAACACTCATCCCGTTTTGTCTTGCAGTGAGCTAAACTCTGAGATATGCTATTAATAAATATGATGGTTAAAGAGAAATTGAGGAATATTAGCAGTCTCATGTACTTTGCAAACTTGCCTCAGTACTTGAGTTTCTCTCATTAGGGCTGTTTATGAAACATTATTCTTATTTAAATAAGATGAATGAATAAGTTATTGCATCTGGGAACCTCCATCAAATTCTCACTGAAGTCAATGGGAGCTGTTCCACTGATTTTAATGGGAGCTGGCACCAGCCCACATCCATCAAGTAACACAAGTTTGCCATCATTAGCAAGGAACATCCTTGTGGCAGAGGCCATGGCAAACAGCAGCAGTTTACCAACAGGAGAATATAAAAAAACAAATCACAAATAACTTCACAAAAAAGTCAGCCTGTTCAGAAACCAGAACAAAATAGAACTTGTGCAAAAATAGTGTGATATTGTAGAAAGCACGAAGGACCAAGCACACAATTTCTGTTGTACTATGAACACAGACTCTGCATGAAACACTGTCCTCAGATGGAACTGATTCGTGTTATCTATAATGTGGTAATATAATCACAGTCTGCAAAGTAAGGTATTAACAAAGTTATGGCTTTATAGCACAAACGTATTGAAGCTCAGTGAGTTTTTCTGAAACACAGTTCCCTCCTATTCCCCTTGGCTCACCCCTCTACTGCTGGGGAGACTGAGAGACAAGACAGGAGATAAACTCAGTAGATCACTAATTCGGAAAGTCCACATGTCACAAAATCACATAAAAAGCCAGCAGTAGTTGCCAGATGCTTTTTCAAATGTCACTGGAGTTGGTATTCAGGCCCTGTGTATGAAATCCTTTTCCCTGGGTTTTTATGTAGAGTTATCTATGAAGTCTGTTGATGTTTGAATAATGATTATATGATTTTTCCCTACTAATAACAATAATATTATGTTGTCCAGCTTATAACGGAGTCCTTAGGGAGAAATAAAATGGATCTGAAGAATTCTATCAACTAGATAGAGACCCCTTGAAAATAAGCATTCATCAACTGCAGTAGTATTTGAAATTACTTTTCAATGTGGACTTTGTTACTGTTGTATCCACAAACGCCAAAAAATTATTTATAATAAGCTTTCATTCCAAATGATAATACTTGGCCTGTGATTCTTCTGTCAATGCAGTATTTACATTTGCTTTAGTAGTATGTTAGTGAATAGTTTCAATGATATTATTACTATATGTTAAGAGAGGGCTATTAAATAATGCATTGTTGACAGAAAGAAGTTGCACTGTTTTACAGAAACCATAACTGAAGATGAATTGCATCTCTTAGAAGTTTATAGATAAATAGGAATAGCTCATTATTTTGAGGAAAAAAATATCAAAAGAACCCTTTAATATCATTAGAGTCCAGGGTACGAATTTCAAAATTTCAGTGAAGAGGCACTTAAAAAAAAAAGTCATACTTTTGATCAAACACTTCTGCCAGGACAAAACCAGGGCACAGGCCAGGTTCAGGTAGGCACCACTCCTTTAAAATACAAAGCAAGCAAAAACAAAAAACAGTAGTAGTCGTACCTCCAAGAAAATAAACGCTATGCCAGCTATTTTTTCCACAATCTTTTACACAGACACTTTGTATTTACACTAGATCTGACATTTTAGAGCAACTGACTAAGCTTACTGAAATGTTTTGCTATCTCAGAATGGGGTAAAAGCAAGAGAGCTGCGTAGAAACTAAAGAAGTCTGTCTAGACAATACTCTTGAAAAAAAGATTCAATGAGACTGATGCACAACATCCTCCAGTAGGTTCTCACCCACCTCTGGAATTCCACAGAACATATTTTTCTATTATATCCAAAAAGTGCTTCCAAATATCCTGAGGAAAAGTTATCATTTTCTATGATAATCTGTAGGACTCTTCCCCAGAAGAGGATTATCTGCAAACATGCAACTTCACATTCATGAAATATCCAAATTAACCTCCTCAGCATAGCATTTCTCCAAAAAGACCCTTCTGCCACCAAAAACTCCCTTTCTAAGCCATTTCATTACCACACCAACAAAACTGAGGAATCTGCAAAAAGAATTTACTACAGAAGAAAAATAAATCAGATGAATTAGAGCCTATTATCATGTCTCTCACTTATTACAATTAACTCTAGGGTTCCGACTAATTGATCATTATGTTAAGTGACTGCTTACCTTTTAATGATAACTGCCTAGACTACTTCTGGAGATGCAGCTGGTAAGAGAATTTTAGTTATTTTTTAAATTCAAAGTAATAGATTTTGGGTTTGACACTAGTTTGATAATCAAATACTTGCTATCCCCTACAGTAAAATGGTAACTACAGTTGTGTGAGCCTGCCCTGCTGCAGGTTGTTCAGCACTTCCTACCATTACTTCTGCTTAGTACAGCCAGAACTTAGAGGAATGCTAGGTAGATATGCAAAGCAGCATAGGACACACGAGGTCAGCTTGGAAACCAGAAAAACACAGGATGCTCAAAGCCTACAAGCGTCCTGCTTTCCCTCATCTTGCCTCCAGTACCCTCTCCTACTTTGCCCATGGATAATTTACTGGGATCTTCAACTTTATGCCATAAAAGGGACATAGAGCTTCCCTGTTAGCCTCCTCACTGCTGGAACCATGTTCTTGGAGAAAGGGGGAGCTAACAGGGAAGCCCTCTTCTTCACTCAGTGACATCAGGCCATCCTCTGGTCACAACCAGCAACTCTGTGACGTAACACTGCAGAGACTGCTGGTTTCATTCAGGAAAAAAAAAATCCAGATCATAGAGGGCTTTGAATAAACTTGTTGATCCTTGGAGGCATGGTAGGGTGCAAGTTAGTTATCTTAATCTTGAGAGGTCAAAGTGATAGCAATGGCTGCCAGCAAATATCTGTAAGGCTGAGACAGAGTTTGCAGCAAATAATTAACCCGTTGAGGATCACTCCTAAAAGTATGTGGCAATGAGCCATATACTTTTACAACTCACTTTACAACACAGAAACAGGGTGTTAAAAACAGCAGCAATTTTGATGTTTCTGTTTAAACATCCAATTTGGGATATTTGAAATGGATCCAGTTCTCAAAACATGCATTATATGCCAACTTCAGAATATCCAGGCCACTTTAAAATAAAGCCATATGGACATCTGTAATGGAGGCAACTGAACTCACTAGACACTTCTTAAATCTTTCCTTTCCTGTATAAACAGCGAATTAATGCTTGAATGATTCACCTGAATTGCCAGTTCATTTTAGGACAAGAAACCTGAAACCTCTGGCTGCGTGCTTTTGCAGTTCTGGTCTAAGGTGGAGTGCAAAGTCATCAGAAGGTTTACACACATGAGATTGTTGGTTAAAAAAAAAAAAAAAAAACTGGAACCACTTTCCAACTTGTTTTGTTGCCTAAAATGGTAAATATAACCTAGAACGTTTTTGACTTCTCCACACTTATCTCTGCTAACCTGACACAGAACCATTTGGGCTTTGCAAGTGAGTTACTGTGGCTAGTGATAACATCTTCCAACAATGACACAAAGAAAAAAGCCATGACATTTTCAAATTGTATCAATTTGCAACATATCTTGAAATATGACAGAGGGAAAGATGATGCTATTTCTGAAAATCAGTTCCAAAACAAAACATTTCTCAAAATTTCTATTCTTGGATGAAAATAAAAATACTGTAATGGGAAAGAAAAAGATTTTGATTTTCTGTATCATCGTAAAGTCATCAGGCTGGCTCCTGATAGCCATTCTCATTTTGCATGTGAGGCATGATTCTGAGAAAAAACATTGCTCAGGATAACAACACTGCTAGAATTTAGCCATTCTAAAGGACTTTATCAAAGACAATACTAAGTAACATATGAATAAATACATCAAGGTCTCAGCTGGAACAGCACCACATGATTCAATTCTAATGACTTAAAAACTTAAGTCCTCCTGATGGTCAGCGAATCTTAGGTTCGCCATGCTCTGTACCCCTTTTGAAATTTGATTTATGCTTCAAAGCCAAGTTGCTGCTTCATAAACATTGCCTTTGGACAACACATGGTAGGGACAACACAGTTGATATATCTTGGAAAGCAAAGCACAAAGCATTTCAGTGTGCAGAACAAACTACTCCGCCTCACTGACTTAAAAAGCGTGGAACTTACTTGGGAGAATTGTTTTGTAGCGATTCTTCCGCACTAAGCCTGGAATATCATATTCCTTTGGATCAACGAAGTTCATTGGAATTTCCTGTTCAAAAAATACAGAGTAGGTAGTAGTATTAGATTCACAAGAGGAACAAAACACCCAAACCAATTACGTCCTGCCTGTGAGGGAGAAGTGATGAAGTCAGCTGAGACATATGGTACTGCACTTCCAGCAACTTACCACCAAAAACATGACTGATGTTTCCTTTTACTGTCACTGACTTTCTCTTCTGAAATACTTAATATGAAAATGCTCACAGTAACTGATTCATTGAATGATACACACAATGGCATTATGTTAGCTCCTAGTATTATTAGAACTGAATTACAAGTGTAGGCACAGAACTCAGCAAAAGGTGGTATGTAAGGTACCCTGCTCCAAAACTGCTGGACCTCAGACACCATCCGTTCTGACTCATACTCCTTCCCCCTCTTTTAGGGCAAAGGAAATAATTTGCTGATGATTCTCACCCGCAACAAATTATGACACAAACTATGACAGGTTGGCATAATGACCTGGCACTATGGACTTGGGGGGTGATTCTTCGTGCTCTCCACACTACCCAGCTCCATGGGCAAGGACAGCAAATTGGTGTTCCCTGGTTAACTGCTCTCTGCACTACTAGACTAAAGGACATACAAAGATGGAAGGGCTTGTTGTGCTCACTATGTCTTTCTTACAAGGTGTCAACCCCAGGCAGCGAGGGCAGGGACAACTGGCGCAAGCACTGACTGGAGTCAGTGGGCATATGATAGGTTCGGATGTATCAGCCAGGCTCAGCAAGGAAGAGGCTTGTGGGAGCTCGTGAGCACAGCTGGTCCTCCCAGCTGCAGCACACTGGAGGTAGGAGGTCAGTACTAGACATATCAGAAATGGGGTCAGGGCTGAATAAGACAGGCACACAATCCTCACACTGGGAGGAAATTAGGATGAGAAGAGCTACAGATTATGTTAAATTCTGGAGCTTTGTAAAAGCAATTGTCTGCATTCTGTGCCTCATACAGCACTGAGCACAGTGTTGGGCTTAACCAGAGGCAATTAATACAACAATAAAGCAATTGTGGCAGTACTATTTGGTGGAACTACCACATGGAGTTCCCCAAATTGAGAGGAAACCCGGGGAATGAAATCAACATGTTTTCCTCAGTTACGTGCTATTTAGTCACCCAGAACTCTGCTTGAGCCAAGCTCCGTAGTCTTTCTTTGGCATTTAGTCATTTACTACTCAAACAAGCTATTGCTGAAAATAGCAGTATTTTGCCTTAAAAAAAATCTCTAAAATCTGTAAGAATTTGAGGACTTAGCCCTGCAACTGACTTTTCTTCCAAAAAGAAACACAACTTCTTGCTTTATTATGAATTTGGACTTTGAAAACCAAGTAGGTTAGATACAGACTGAAAACACATGCTACAGGGCCAGTGGATGATAACCGTTTCATTAAAAAAAAAAAACTAGTTTACATTTTTTAATTGAATTAATTTTTGATTAAATGGCCTTTTTTATCTACATTTTTTCAATTTTCATTAAAGAATGAAAATGGTTAGGGATGGTTTGGCTGATAAAAATGAATTTCTGAATATCAGGAGAACTCATTCAAAAGCTCTCAGAGAAATTAAACTTTTTTTTCTCCTCCTATTTCTCATATTACTTTCTCTGCCTGAAAGCAACAGTGGGCCTTAGAAGCTGATGAAACTGTATGTGGACTTATTTAGCAATCAACTCAGACACTCAATAAGCAAACACTTCCTCTTCAGAACAGCAATAGATGCTTTACCTTAAAAGCATCAGGGGTTGCCTACACAAAAGGTGGTCTTTGTTAACTTGTACAGAGCTACGTGAATTAAGAGCCCCATATATTTGGTGGTCTGCTTTAAAACTGAAGTCCAAACCATCTCACCTCCATCTGCTTGTAAAGGGAATAAAACCCAGAAACTGCACGAGGAAGGTGGATGGCAAGGAGTACTCTGAAGTGTTAGACCTTAGTGATCACAAAGGGGACAGGCTGAAAGGACTGCTGTGTTGCAAAGCATCCTCCTCCTCCAACTCTGCTGGGATACCACACCTAAGAGAATATTTGATAGGCTGGCATTAACTTCAGTAGCTCTTGATTACACGCCATGGAACACCCCAGGGTGCAGAGACTGTGCCTTGGTTAGTTCCCATCTTGTGCAGTCATTTACAACCCTGTCTAGTAGACATAATAGTCATAGACATTGCAGCATTTTGCATTTTTTTTTGCCCAGGTACAAACGGCAATGCCTACAGGGGAGGCTCAGTTAGGAGGAGACTCAGGTGGAATGCTAATAACTAAAATGCCATTGTACTGACTAGCCCGAAATGTATCTGGCCTTTATTCCAAACTACTTAGAAATGCAATTTTCACCCGCTTACTTCACCTATGTATGTCAAGGCTGTATTTTCCCCAAAATGAGGCTAGGCGTTCTTTCTCCCAAATTAAAAGAGGATACAGAAACCAGGGAAACATACTTCAGAATCCTAAAAGCAGCTAAAAGAGCAGCTTTTAGCTAATAAGTAATTTTTGTGCAGATAAAAACAACAAAGCATACTTTCCATGGCTCCTGCTGAGTGGCATAGCCATCCCGTGCTTCAGTTGTCTGCAGAACATTCAGGCAACTTAGACAATAGCTCCATGCCAAGCACTGAAGAGTAAAGAGTGTTCATTTCGGTTGATCTCATCCCTAAGGGAGCTCCAGGGATTTCAAGAAGTCAAGCCTACAGCAAACTTGGCTTTTTTTTTCCTTATAGTCTAGTGATTTTTTTTCCTTAAACATAACATGCTGAGAAAAATAAATAAATTTGTGAAAACAGAACTGTTTTTCATTGCCAGAACTAATTCTTGTAACTTATAAGTGGCAAGATCATTGAAATTTTTCAGACACTGTCATTTCAAAGGGTGATGAATTTGAGGATTTAATTAAGTGCTTCACTGATGGAAGTGGAGTTTGTATTTACTAATTTTAGTCTTGCAGAAAGTAATAGCAAGATTCATAGAAAGAAATAACATCCCATTTTTCTGATGCTGCTGGACTCCTACTCTATATAGAAAGGTCAGAATACTCACAAAGAACTCTGCCTGGAGTATGAAAGGATCCAATGCTTTCTTGTGCAGTTCCTCTTCAGTAAGGATGTTTGATGCTGTCTGGAGGTATTCTTGAGCCGACTGTTCCCGTGGTGACATGACATAGCCAAAACCTTGCTCAGAACAGCCTGGGGTACACATATCCAATGTAAGTGAAACATTTGAACCTCTCCTGCAAAAGACAGCAATTAGAGTTTGTTTACAACAGAAGAGATTGACCCACCATTGCAAGTGTCAGCAATGGATACAGTCCCGATGACAAATAAACAGCAACTTTAGAAAAACACTCAGGTGGTTATGCTGGGTACGTTACTGTCACTACCTGTTAACAATGGGTGATGTAGCCAAGATCAGAAGATCATTTCTGTAATGAAAACACACTGGAAGATGAAGACCAACACTTTCAAAATTTTGTCTATAGTGAGGTAACTCTCTGTACTATCACCTAAATACAAGCAACTTGCTTTTCAAAGATGCTGAGCAGGCAATTGCAAGGAAGTTTTAGTACGTGCGTAGATAACACCATATTTTTGGGTGCCTAACACAGACTGACATTTTAAACATCACCAGTGAGAATCCTGCTCCTAGTTTTCTTTAGGTCAGATCTCACACTCTACTCCTACTGAATAAGCATTTACCAGTACCCAGAACATCATCCTTGTGGTAAGATCTTGGGATAAATGTTACTAGTTCAACATGAATAAGAGCATGAGATGCTGACCCATTACCGCAAATAATTTTTCTGTCCGAAAAACTTTTCTTCCACAACAGTTAATTGTGAGAAGGGTAAAATGAAGGCCCTAACATTTTGATAGTGATATTAAAAATATTGGTGTTGAGTGTAGAAATGTTAGTGGCATTTACATAAGTTAACCGTGCTATAAAACAAAGAAGTCAAAACCTGAGCACTGTTTAGTGAATGCAGTTTTAAAGCATTCCTGAGCTTCTGCCAATCTCACACACCGTAGACTAAATTAAGGTCCAGATGTCATCAGTGAATCTGGAGTTAATTATCTTTAGAACAATAACACCGTACAATCTGATGATTACTATCTGTAATATTCTATTCATCCACACAGTAGACCTATATTTGGTGACTCTCAGTTGGCAAAATCTACTTGGGAACTACTTGTAGGAGCTGTTGAAAAATACATATGCAGGCCAGCACAACCAGTTCACAGAGAAGAAGGGCAGAAGTTGTTACTAGGATGACAGCCCTTTTCTGAATTCAGGAGCGTTTCCAAAAGATGTGCAGCCAGCCTCTTGCTATGATTCACCGTCATGAGGAAAATAATCTCGCATGAAACATAACCAATAGTGGTAGAAATTGAGTTTTTAGTGGCACTTTTTATTTTTTTCTTGACCCTATCCTGAGAGCTGTTAAATAGCTACTACATTCACCCCCAGAAACAGCTGCATTTAACTGCTAACAAATGCTTTTCCTTTTTTTTTAAATGTAGGAGAGGCTATGTACATAAAGATATTAGTATCTCTTCAGGATGCAGAAATGAGATTGTCTCTTCTTAAGGATGACAGTCAGTGTTGTTTGAATTTAGCCAGTGGTTACCCTTGTAATGGTGCAGGTGGTTAAGGAATAACAGGGAAGGAAGAGATGGAGAAGCAGGATAGATGAAAAAGAGGGGTGGGCAGGTAATTTAACACAGTAACACATAAAGAATGACCAATGCTTAATGTGAATGAAATCTGTCAGAGCGCAACCCAAATCTGAAATAGTGTCTGATCTCTCAAGTACATGTGTATGTTAAAAAGAAATTTATTTTACATCTTAGTGTACACATTCTACATAGCGTGAGAACTTCAAGCAATTACTTCCTATATCCCATCTCCACTTCCCTGACAGCTTTTAATTGTTGATATTCACTGTATCTCTTGAAACAGTTTGTAGTTTTCCTGCAGCCTGTCACCTGAGAAGAAATTGCACAGTCTTTAAAGAGAGATGGAATGAAGTCAGGGACGGTGAAAGGCACAAATGACTTGCACTTCAAGACCCATCTTGCCCATAATGAAAACAAGGGCAAAACTCGCTGATAACAGGCTCAGGGACATGCCCTAGAGGTCACTGTAATCTCATATTTAAAGCAGAATATTATAATATAAAAGGTGAGACATTTCAGGGCAAATGAGGTAACCGTGATTGAAGTATGAGAAAAAGCATTTTAAGCTCATAGAGGTAAATTAAAGGCCTCTGCTGTTAACACTCCTTTTTTAATTAAGTAGCAGCACGTGGAGCTTTGGAAACTCAGTACGATACATTTTTAGATGACCTACCCTGTAAGTTTCAGATGAGAGCATTAACTACTGTTAGCCCTTCAATTAAGCTTGAAAACCTGGGAATAAAGAAAGTGATACTCTTCTAGGTTGGGCCTTTCAGTAACCTCATTCCTTACTCGTAACACCACCATCTTTGCAGAATTTCTTGATGGGATTTCTGTCCTTGAGATCTGCCTTCTGTTTCACCGAGGCAACTAAAAGAATGCAACATAGATAGAGATGCAGGCTGCCAACAATGCAAACTCAGACTTCCTGTGGTCCACAGAAGGAGGAAGGCTAGGAACTTTAAACCAGTCTCAGCTTCAGAGATGAGGATGCCAAATCTGGTGTACTTCTCCTTTCCTTAAACGCACACATGCATGCTGACACAGAGTAAGACTAGTAAAGTGAAATAAGAGAGTCTTATGGATTTCACATGTTCTGGAATTCACATACCTCTGGGCTTCTGCGTCTTTCAAAGCGTGCCCGTTACAGGTGACCCTTCTGTGAGATACATGAGCAAAGATGGAGAAATGCAACACAAATCAGTACTCCATCCTTCCCATCTTCCTTTTATCTTAAAACTGTCCTTTCCCAGCTGTGAATCTCTCCGAGAGGCTCTGTTCTCCTGCTGGTTCAAGGTGCGAACACCAGCTTACCTCAAGTTTCGTTATTAGATTCATTTCAAAGGAATTAATTTACTTTAAGGCTAACCCCTAAGAGAGCTACTACAGATGACCATTTGTACTACAACTGGCTTTTGGAGAAAGGACTAATTCTCCAGCATGAGTGACAGGAAAACAAATCAACAGCGTCCACCTTTCAGTGGTAAAAAGGTTTCAGTGACCTAGAGTGGTTTTCATGCTATGCAGTTGTCATCTTGGGGAATGGCAAGAGACTAATCAAACACAAATGGATCTTCTAAAGGAAACAAATGTCACTTCTGAATAAGATTTGTTGACAGCCATCTGGAAACCACACATTTGTTGGCTAGTATGTTGTATATTTATGACTGAACTGAAAACAGATAGGAAATTAAGCAGCTGCTTGGCTTTTAAACCACATTTTAAAGTGATATTCATGAAGGCAACAAAGCTTCCTGTTAGGCATAGAACTCCCAAGCCCATAAAATCTGGGACCAAACTTTTCCCTCTTCATTGGATCTACCCTACCTTTCTTGCAAGCCCACGGATTTAACCGTTAGAGTAGTTGGATCTGTCTCCGCTTTAATGTCCATTACGCAGTCAAAGACCGGGGTCTCTGGTACAGGATCCAAATCTAGGAAGTCATCCTCATTTTTATCCTCTGTCCACTCTGAGTACGTGAATGAAGGCTGCCGGCTCACAGATTGGCGTCTGTCCTCTTGGAGCGGAAAGGGGGGGTCTGGACGGGCTCTGATCAGATGCCAAAACTGGAGGAAACAAACATTTGAAAAACCTTTCTGCTTGTTGCCAGTCCCTCCACACAGCCTAGAGGATGTGTCTTTAGGGCAACAGCCCAATTCACTATAGCTAGTAGAACTGGATGCTATTAAAGAGGACAGGAATGTTCCATGCAGGAGCAGCTTTGCAGTGCATGTTACAAGGATTTACATCCACCTATTCAAACACGCTTTCAGCCACAGATGTTTCCACAGAGCTAGCCAGGCTTAACTCTGGGACATAGTGGAAACAGAATGTGCTTGTGACCATCATATGCCCGCCAATGTGATATCACTGTCCTTTTGTTCAGTTTATTACCCTTCCTATACTTGTTGACAAAACCAAAGTCTACCGTACTGTTCCACAAATCATACCTTTCCTGACTTAAAACTAAGACATAGATATAGCTAGGTTAAGATAGATAAATAGTATTTTCCTGAACTGCACATCCTTGATAATCTGGAACTGTAGCCTAAATCCATGTATAAACCAAAGGCATTCTAAAGAAGCCTCAATTTTGATGCACCTGATTTTGAGGTTCAGAACGCCTATATCATTTTTTGGTCAGTGGCGAAGCCTGTTTTGTGACTTAATCGTCTAATTTAAACATGGTTCAGACATTAAATAATAAATCCTGTGAAGTTGTAGAGCATAAATGTAATACTAAAGTTTATAATAGGAGCTAATGAAGGATTGAAAGTGGTATGAATTAACAATTATTGTATCTTGGTTTGCACAGATGCTGTGGCAGACTAGATGATTTGGAGATATTATCAGCACTGTTTAATCCTACACAGGCATCAGCTAAAATCCTCAAGTCCCTAGCTGAACTCTGGGATCTGGACCCCTAGGCCAACTTTATCCCTCTAGCACAGAACTAGGAGCAATGTCACCCATCACTGCAAGTGTTATACAAACTATCTTGTCCTGCTGTGCACCCTTTTGAGACCAAGAAGATTTTGAGGATGTGTCATTTTTCCCAAAGTAAAGCCTCTTCTGTGGCTTATAAATGGGCAGTTGACTTCAGAAAACATGTACTGTTAAAAAAGGCCTAATTTTTCTTCCTATGCTATTAAAGCACATTAGTTTCTACAGGATTTTAAAAGCCAATTGCCTTGTGCCTGTGTATCTTCACGTACTTTCATTCCTCTGAGCCTAGACAATGAAAAGAAGTGAGGTAAGTTTTCATTTCTGTTCATAGCCATTTTTAGAGAAAGAGTCTCACAAAGCATCAACATTCAGTTGACAATTACTTCAAAGAGAATGTTTTTTGTTGCAATAAATCAAAACAAACAGTAGCTACAGAAACAAACATAGGAACATAATTACGAGACTTATATTTTAAACACATTTGGGGTCAAATATGAACTGAATCTGTCCTTCACACTTGGCCTGATGGACGAGAAGAAAGAAGCTTAAAGACCTGATTCTATTTTCAGTCCCCAAGATGACTTCTGGAGCTTGGCAGTCTCACAGTACTTGACATGGTTCTTACATATACCCAAGGATTATAATATCCAAGCAGTTCACAGTGTAAAGTATTTATCTGCTCAACAGCTTTGTACAGGAGGAGCATGTTGTTGTTACTATAATCAACATTTGTGCTGAGGGTCATGTGTAAGGCCTAGGTGCCAATTACATACTACAGATGCTAGTGCAGAGTTGGTACAGTCACACAGGATTGAATTTACTGGTGATACAACAGGCTGTAAATCCAAAGGAATATAAAGTTTGCCCTAAAAGCAGAGATGCTTTTTTTTTTAGGTTGAAAAAAGCATGTGGACAGTAAGAGCTGCCCAAGACAATGAAGGAAATTAAATTACACTTAAAAGTAATGGGTTTAAACTAAACAATGGAAAAATAGTCAGCTCTGAAAACCTGATCAGGAGGACTAGACAGCACTGCGCTGGTCCCTTGAGGCTGCCTGGGCCTAAAGCACCACCTAGCCCTTACGTGAGGCAGAAAACAGACAGCAACAGTAATACAATCCTCAAGGGCCTTACCTGGCCAGCTGTTTTCACCATGATCACTAACCTAGCAACACAGCCTGGTAATTGGGTATTCTCAGAAAAGTGTCTTAAATCTTGCTTCAGGTCTGCTCTCCTGAAAAATTTGTTCTAACATTTGTTAGATTTACAAATTCCCTGATACAGGAATGATCTGGATTTTGGTGTGTGCACAGAGCAGATGGGCATTAGTTTTATTGGTGTCATGTCTGAGACTCCACTCGTCCACCATTTCTCAGCCTTGTTAGATGGCCCAACAGCTGTTGCCCTACATTAAAGCAACAAAATAGCTGTGTAAATAGTCACAATTTCTCCCTTCCCCAGAGAACCACTGAAACACGACTTCAGGTGACTTCAGGTTACCACAAGTGCTGAATAAAAAAAAAACGCATAAGCTGCACGTTGCCTAGTACCTGCATTGGTGTAGGACTGATGTATCAGGTCCATCTATTATGACAGAAGGGTACATTTGGAAAAGAAAGATTTAATCATAAATGCACTCCTCAGTGTAAAAGATCCCTTCTAGGTACCTTCTAGGCAGCAAATGGCTTAAAATTCATGAAAATAAAAAGAGAACGCACTGAGCTGAGATAGAGGGAAAATACATAAAAACTTCATTGAACTATCTGTTGTCCAGTAAGGTGGGATCTAGAAACTCTGTTCAGCTCCATCACTGCGTTATTTGTCATGTCCTGTTAATGAATGTTTTATACCTTATTCCCTAAATGCTGGTAGAAGCAGATGTTTTCAGGTTGTAGAGCGGTGACCTGTTCTCATTTACACTGGTACAACTGTTCACTTGCAAGTTGCTATGGATGCAAAACAGTCAAAACTCGGACCACAATTTTTGGTTACAGAGAGCTCTTTCAGAGTTACTTTCTGTGCTAAGAATGGCTTGGCAATAAAACGTTTCCATCTAGGTACAAATAGGTTCAATATGAAGAGAAATCATACCCCTGCTATTCTGATTTCCAGCTCAGAATGTTTTGCTGTAAAATTAAAGCAGCATCAGAAAAGCAAAAAATTGCCTCAGCCAGGCTTCCAAGCCTACATCAATGCCTACATCAACTTCCATGCCTACATCAATGATCCCAATAATGGATCACTAATCACACTAATTACTTTGCTTTGTGAATGGTTTAAAAAAAAATACATTCACCTGACACATTAAGCAGAAGATTTTGCTACTGTGCTGCCTCTAAGTGAACTGAACTGTGGTATGTATTGTGACGAACCTCATACTGGGCCACATTAGGAGAAGCGTGGCCAGCAGATCAAAGGAAGTTGGATATTCTCCTGCTACTTAGTGCTGGTGAAGCTGCACCTTGGATACCGTGTCCAATTTCAAGCCTTCCAGTTTAAGATGGATGTGGACAAATTGGAGTGGGCCCAGCGGAGAGCTATTAAGAAGGTCAGGGGTCTAGAGCATGTGCCTTGTGAAGGAGGTTGAGGAGTTGTGCTTGTTCAGACTGGCAAAGAGAAGGCTAACAGTAACCTGCAACTACTTGAAGGGCAGCTACAGAGATGATGCAGCCAAACTCTTCTTGGTAGTGACAGCTGATATCACAAGGGACAACCGACACGAATTGCAGCTCAGGAAATTCAGATTGGACATTATTTCCCCACAAGGGCCATGCAGCCCAGGCACAGGTACCCAGAGAGGTGGTAGACCTTGGAGGTTTTCAAAACTTGTCTAGAAAAGCCATGTCTGATTGATCTAGTGCTGGTGACAGTCCTGCTTTGAAAGCAGGATGTTGGACTAGAGATGTCCAGAGGTCCATTCCCACCAGCAGCCCTATGGTTTTATGATGGACTGCATTAGACTGCTCAGTCACTCAAACCACATGTTTATGGTACAGCTTCAGCTTCCTGAGCTGTCTGAAGGTGCACTACAGTAAGAACAGGAGGCCACGTTCTACCTGTATTTTATTGCCACTCTAACATAACAATATACAGGGGTATGAAAAGCCATGTTCAACTAGAGCTCCCTAAAAAGAAAGAATTCTCCCTCGCTTTCACATCTAGTGCACATCTTTGTGCCAGTTATATGATCAGTGGAGAAGCACAACATGCTGTCCTTCTGCTCCCAAACAGCTGACAGCTAACTAGATTAATTGTAGTCATGCCTTTAATCTTGTTCTGCAGCTGGGGCCTTGGCCTACATCTACAAGAGTATTACATTCACAAGTACACTGATGTTCTGGACCAACTCTTGTTGTCACTTAAGTCAATGAATGTTCTGCGGTCAATTTGTAAGGCAGCAATATTTGATGCTCCCTTTACTGGGCCACATCCCTCCTACCCTAAGTGAAAATACTTTACCCATTGGTGGATGGAAGGAACAAAAGCCATCAGCTGAATCCCCAATTCATCAAGAAATTGAATAAGGATAAGTGTAGTCAGGATTCCTCTATGTAAAGCATGACAGTAATCATACAGAAATACCCCAGAAGGTATTACTTTAAAATCAACTTAGGCATAACATCAACAACTGAGAGTAAATTAGACATTTTCTAAAAACTCATTGGAAAAAGGAACGGACATAGTTTATGCAGTATCACAGCTTACCAGAGATCCTACAAGTAACAGTCCTAGAGAAGCTAAGGATAGCAGGATGTATGATATCACAATGCTCCCAACTCTGGTCAGGTCCTGTGAAATGACAGAATTGACAATCACTCATGAAGTATCTAGCAGCATGGTATAGAATCTGTGTGTGTTTTTGGGTAAACAGTTTGTATTCATTCTTGGAGTTCCCATGTTGATTAGTCATACCATCCTCTTGTCTGTGGAAAAGCCACCACCACCAGCAAAAAATGCCAGGATTCAGAGATGACCAAAATTGAAATAATCTCTGAGCCCCAAGATCTCTAAACATGTGGAAAATGGCTTTCAGTATTTTGGCACCAGCTATCACAGTGAAACTGCTTCCTTCCCTCATACATTTCCAACATTGAGATCGGATCCATGACTCAATTTTGCAGCTTGGATTTGTCACAGTTCGTATAATTTTATCCCTTGGCAAAAGGCTTTGCTGGAAGTTTAGTACTGTTCATTTGTTTAGGGGACCTTACAAAAAATCCAACCACAGAGGAGTTTTCTAAATTTTCTGTGTGTTCTGAGAAGTGTCATAACGTCCATTTCCAACACTGGCAGTGAAATTCACTCCAATGTCCTAACCACATCTAAGTGGTTCAGAGTTCAGCCTATTCTCAGTAATGGGTGCAAAACGTACTTCTAAAGGAATTGAGAGGGCTAGGAATTTTTATCTGCTTCTGACACACATCAGTACGGCCAGGGAGAAATTCAGAGTTATTTGCTCATTTTAATTTCAGTAGATTTCTTCCCCTTAACTGTTCTGAAGTCTCAATTTGTAGTAAATTTGTACTGCAAACAGTGCTATAATAAACAACCCTCAAGGATATGCATGAACATCTAGACAGAGTCATACTCGGGGTGTTCTTGTGGTGCATTCTAGGAATCACTCTCCTCCACACTGAATCCACAGAACACTAAGTCCAAGTCATATAAATCAGGGGTTTTCTGTAAGAAACAATTTTTTAAATGACTGACCTACTGCAAATAAGATTCAAATAATCAGAATGCCTTATTCTCTATGGAGAGCTTTGATTATGCATTACAAATCCAATTGAGAAAGGCCAAAGAAAAAGTACTTCTTTCAAATAAACAAGAGAGCAGGTTATACGTAGCTCAAACACCATTAGGTGAGCACAAAAAGTAACCTCCACTGTACTTCAGCCACAAGAGGCAAAGAGTCAGAGTTCCTATTCATACTGCATAGCCTCTGCTACAAAGATTGTGTACAATGAACCTAAACATTCCAACAGCAAATATATTTGGTGTGATTTTTGAAAGCAGCTGCTTACCATTTAATTGAAGTTCTGTCCACACTAGAGAAAGCTGCAGTGGGTATAATTACCCCAGTACTTTATCAGATGAATCATGCTGGTGTATGTGTCATTCTGTCATGGTGAGAGGCTAAGCATTTTATTGGGGTAGCTTTGTAGATATAGTTGTGTCTGTACACCTGGTATACCTGAAACACTTTCACCAGATACAGATTTGCTCTAAACACTTGTGGGGGGGGGGGGGGGGGGGGGGGGGAGGAGGAGGAAGGTGACAGAATTTGTTATGGTGTGTCTTATGTTTTGCACCCTTTCTGTGGATCCTTCAGTTTTCCTAGAATCTAAGCTTCTATCCATCCAAATAAAGTTCCAGCTCTCTCTTTACTGTGGAGTAAGCCTTAGGAGGCTGATTTCTCATTCCTTTGTTTCATTTGCAATCATTTGCACCTTACTAAAACTCCACTATGCTGATTCAATAGCACGGCCAAAAATTTGGCCCATTTTTTGGGGGGAATAAATATAAATATTTTCAGAAAGCATTTTCTACCCTTTCAGAATACACACACAGTGCAGCAGTCACTATATTAAGTACATACGTATTACATATTTAATTTGAAGAGATATTTGAAGCATCACCCAAGGCTATGAACATCAATCATTCAATCAGAGAGAGGAATACAGAAATTTACCTCCCCTTGATCTGACAAAAATTGTCCAAATGGTGCAAGCACGTAAGACAACAGGTCAAAGGCATTCTGAGCTGCTGGGACGGTCCCATAAGTGCTGTACCACAGCATCATGCAGAGAAGCTGTGCAATCAATCAGAAAATACATAATGAGCATTCCTCATTAAACAAACATCCATTTTCATTTCAAGACTGCATAATTAACTAGTTTAGTTCTCATTGATTTTACGTTGATTATCGTTTTTGCTTTAAGTAGTCAGGTATTTCCTGTGCTGTAGCTTAACAAGAATAAAACGACTGAGGACTAAATGCTCAGCTAGCATTAACTGGATGTGTGTCATTGAGTTCAGCAAAGTTACTGATTTACATTAGCAAAAGGAATGCCCGAGAGATTCTGCACATCAAAGGAGCAACAGAGATCCCTTTGACTTCTGAGCTTTTAGCATTACTGCTTTTAAATCAAAATTGGTATTAGATAAACTTGGTATGTTTTTAAAAGGCCTCTCACAAATGACCACGTCCACACCGATATTCCTATAAAGATGTATACACATACACAAACATACACTTGTTGAAACATTTCATTTGAACCACTTCAGGTTGCTGCACACACCACTGCTGACAAAAAAACCAAAAAAAGCAAGGGTGTTAAAAGTTAGCACCCTCGCAGAGAGAAACACCCCCATCCTATACCCTGAAGGGCAACCCTGAGGGGTCCCCCTCCCAGTCCACTTTTTAACCAGATGGATGCTATTCCTGTACATATCAGTGGCACAAGACGGTTTTGTAGCAAAATGGGTCATTTAGTGAAGGAGGTATTTGTAGAGGGGCAGTGGACTGGGATGGGAGTCTAGGATGTCCAAAGGCAGGGGCCATTTGTAAAGCAGGGCTCGGGGAAGGTGGCTGCAGGAATGAGAGAGGACTGCAGCTACGCTCATTGCTATGCCCACATTGAACGAGGAAGAAAGCTTCCATGCCAAAATAGATTTAAAGAAGGGGTCCTAGCATTTCAAAGTGATGACAAGCTGCCTTACCAACATCTGCGAGAGGACAAACAGATACATGCTGTCTCCAGGCATTAATCCATTCCACTGGGCAGCCCAACCAAGCGGTGCTGTTTTCTGGGAGGTTTTCGCAGACTGCTTCTTCCTGCTCAGCTGTCCTTGTTGTCCTTCAGCTTCATCGACTGACTCCATCACAGCTGGATTGGAAAGACCTTCACATGCAAATGACATGTGCAGGGAATGAATAGCACGTAACCCTGCAGCCACGGTGGAGGCTGCAAAAGCTATTGTTTTCCTAAAGACATTAGTTACCTCTCAGTTCTGCATCAGTAAGTGCGGCTCAGGATTGTGAGCGTCACACTCTATTAGTGCAGCTGTATTCACCTGCCTTCGTCAGAAAAAAGTGAGTGTGGGCGGATAAATTATTTTCCCTTTCTTTCCGGAGGTGCAGAATCTGGGCTTTGTTGTTAATAAATTCTCATTTATATTGCTGCACCTTTTTGTTTTTACTGTTTTAAAAGAACCATCTGTGCTATTTGCTAGCTCCACACTTCCCAGCTGCATGATGGCAGAAAACCTGTTTTGTCTCTCTCTTCCTCAGTTTCTCTTTTTTCTCTTTCTTGTCTGCTTTTTGCCTAATTTGAGTAGAAATTTCTAGGGTAGAGATTGTCCCATGCTATGGGTCTGGACAGTGCTGAAGGGCTCTGGATTTTGTCAGGGTGTCCCAGGACGCTAATAAAATAGACTTTATTTCTAGTAACTTCTTGGATGAATTTTTACTCAATAACTACTTAATAATGTTGGAATGCTATTCCATTCAATGGAAATATGCAGTGGAGTGCTAGCCCCCCAGTAATAATATTTTGAATGTAGTTTGTGTAGAAGTAAATGAATTTACAAGCTGGAGGCAGTGACAGATCTGACCCATTCAGTGCAATCACTACTGATTTACATCTTTCCACATGAGGAAAACCCCAAGGCTGCCACGTGTACAAGACTGTAGCCTTAAGCCTAAGCCAGTCATGTGTGCCCAAGGTAAAGGTCACATTGCTGGCCCTTCTGTCGTTTGCTGAAGTTGGATTTCTACAGAACGCTCCTCTTTATCAGGCATTTCTCTAAACGTCCCAGAACAGTAACTTTAGGTCAGACGAGCATCCGTGAACTAGTGACAGCTCTAATTAACTGAACAAAATGTGGGATTCATTTACCAGCTGAGAGTCTGGCCACTGATATAATAAGTAAGGGTCGATGGGACTATCCCATTCTGATTTTCAAAACATAAAAATGCAAGGATAGATAGGAACATGAGCTGCTTATTCCCACTCTGTAATTGTTCTTCTCCCTCTCGTCACTGAAAGGGATCTTAGGACATCCCTGCATGAGAGAACAAGGCATATGAGAAATGCTGATGGCTTCCCCCAAGGTTCACCATTCCCACGGCTCCCTAATGACGTAAGGGTCATCATTGTGTACTGACTGTGCAGCATCTCCCAGAGACGACCCAAGAAAGAACAGTTGCAAGATACTACCAGGTACTTCCATAACAGCTCAGGTTACCGGTTTCTCATTTCAAAAGATCTCCAGTCAGTTTGTGATGGAGAATGACCTCAGTAGACCTGAGTGCAGATGGACCTCAGTAGGGTATGCTGGATACAACTGGTTAGGCAACTGATTTTCACTGCCTTTAGGCAGATATTTCTCAAGAAGCACTGGTAACGTGCATATAGACAGACATACACCCTGCAAGTATGCATGTATATACCATAGATAATACTGAAGGTAACTGACAGACTGTATTTGCCATTTGCTGACTGAATACATTAATTTGCATAAACACTATCAGGATTTCAGATTAAATAAAGGATAATAAAACATACAAAAACATGGAATTAAAAAGGTGAAATCAGAAATATCAACAATTCCAGCCTGTATTTCTCACAGTGTTAAAATTCTCATTACTTTCATCTATGCATCCTTAATGCTGGAAGACAACAGCTTAAAAACAATATTTGCAACTGAAAAGCAGACAATTTCTGGAATACAGGTGGAAAGCTCATGGGAGTTCTATCTCTTTGTTCCCCTGGCTCCAGCTGGTAATTTACAGTCCATGACAAAACCCCCAAGAAACACACAGAGCTCAGGTGCAGTCCTTTGCATCCAGGGAACAATTTTGAACAGTAGTCCACAGACTACAAGCTCAACATCTGACTTCTGATACCATGCTAAGCTGACTCAGAAGTTCTCCAAGAGAATTACACAGCAGCCACATTTATAGCGAAGGCTACCTAAATATTAATGACATCAACCTTTGCTTTCCTTTCCTATGATGTGCTAAAACTTAACAGCTAAATTTGAATCTTTCCAAGCTTGCAAACCACTTCATGTCTTATTCTAAGAATTGGTTTGGATAAGAAGAGGAGGAAAATCTTTGTTAGTATCTGGCAGATTTTTTCTGCTGTTATTGGGGGAGGTGTTTATGTTCTGTGTTTTGGAGCAGGAATCTGAAATTTAGCAGAAAATCTTGAAATCAGAAGTGATTTTTGCCATCCATGCAAAAAGACATTTGCAAGTGGCTGAGATATAAAACTTTGAAAATATCTATTTGCATATAATATATTACGGCTTGTTCTTACAGTTTCTAACCTTCCTTTTCCACCAAGAACGTGATAAGTCCGACTTTTCCTTTACCTACATTAAACAACGCATCCATGTCCCTGAGAACGGTTGGCAAACATATTTACTGCTTCCAAATCCTAGTGACCTCCTTTGTGGGATACACCTCCACAGAATTTAAGACACAACGCATGCCAAGCAGAATTAAAATATCTTTAAGGAGGTGACCAGAGTAGGTGTTGGGGAATGCAGATTTTAAGTTCAGCTTTTAACTACTGTTTATAACACAAGATATTTCTTATTTCAGAAGCCCTCTTTTTTAAACTGACCAAAAGCTCATTTACTTGCCTTATATAGCAGGTAAGCATAATTTCTCCATTTTACTTCTATAACAGCCCGAGATTTTACAAGGTCACTTCTATTAAAGTTGGGAGAAAACAAAAAAAACCCCTAATCTCTAATACAATGACATTAAGACCACTTAATCACATTGCCTTCCGGAGCAAAGTCAAAGTTAGGGGACTGCTCTGTGTCTGTAACCATGGGGATCTATACCTCTCCAGAGCCAAGAAGCCCAGTTCCCAGTATTCCCAGTGTTGTCTAGGAAGAGCTGTATAAGCTACAATTGTAGAAGTCACGCTTCCCTTATGACTGCCCTACATGAAGGGCAATAGACTACTACTATCAATTATTTTTACTGTTTAAGGGAGAGATCTGTTCTATGCACCGAAGAGTCCAGGATTCCAATGACTTGGCTCAATCAACATGGTTCAGCTGCTGTCAATAGATTTTTTTCACTAGTAACAGTAAAATAAAACAGGTCAAGAACTCAAACACTAGGGAACTGTCACAATTCATACCTATAAACAAACAGATTAAGATTCAGCTTTTGGGTACATGAAGAAAATGCTTTGGATTAATTAAAGTCCACTCAAAACCTTACTATCCCAAATAAACCACCAAACATTAGATTTTAACAAACATAAGGGTGCCCACCTAGGGTTTTGTATTGATTTAATTATCCCAGCTTTAAACAATACTTCAATTACCATTTACACTCCATATTGCATTCCTATGTTCCTCTATTATTTGTCCTAAAAGGCCCTGCCAGAAAATTTGTTCTCTTATGTCAAGGTCAGTGGGCAGGTCTTGAGACAGCTCAGACGGATGTCTGCCTCCAGGAGGAGTGAATTGTGCCTCACTTCGGGGAGTGATTTGACTGCACGGAAATCTAACATCCTCACCTTATGCTCCTGAATTCCTGCCTCACGAAGATCGGTATTGACGTTCCACAAGTACTTCTCCTTTGCCATGGGCCTACACTTGCTAGAAAAATCCTTTGGCAGAAGGATTAAAAGGTCTCTGACATCTGTAGCAGCCATAGGGCTTGTTAAAGCAACCTAGAATTTCCAAACAGCACCATAAGCTCAACCATCATCCTTGCAGTTCTAGGAAAATGAGCCCTCTGGATCAAACCAGTGCTCTATCCATCCTACATTCTTTCTCTGAACATGTTCACCAGTACAAGCTGCCTGTAACTCCATCTCTTTCTTCTTCTGACTCTGAGTGCGAGTACATAAAGGGCAGAAGAATAAACCAAGACAATATGTACACTATTTGAAAAATATGTACTTAGAATACTAGACTTAACTGAAATGCTAAAGAACACTATCGTACCGATGAGTAAAACAACAATGCCTTACAGCAAATGATCTAACTGAATGCTACTATGGGCAAGGCTCCCCAAAAGCTCCCCAAAGTCAATTGATTCATCCTTAGAACCTTCAGAGAAAAAAAAATAAAAATCACGCTCTCAGGACCATGTATCCTGGCTGTGTTCCTTGACGAAGTCAGCACTTGGCAAGAAACTTTTGTTCTCTGCTGTGCATAGGTGCTGAATTTAACAATGTGTTTGTGGGATGAAAAGACTTTTTCCTTACCAAAAGGATTTTCACAACGGTGAAACAAAATGTAACCTAGCAATGAAAAGATAGTACTCACATATTATTGAAGTTTTACTCACCTCGATTACACTGTGCCTGTGGGAATATTATATCTGGGAGATTGGGCTGTAGTGGCTTTTTCACTGGAAAATCCAAATATTTTTTAATGGGGGCTTCTGGGGTAGTGATAACTCTTAGGGTGTCTAGCACTTATGCAATATAAATGCTTTATTAAAACAGCATTTCTCAAGAGACGTTAAGAAAGCACAAACACCATGCCTGGTGTGCGGGAAGGAAGTGGAGCATTGACTTCTTATTTTCCTTCAGGCTTTTCCCACAGGGAAAAAAATCTTGTTTCCTTTTCTCTGCTTTGGAAAGCCCAAGAAGCTGCAAGATAGCTGCAGGAAAATCAGGAAGATCACGCACTTCCTGCGGGCGCTCTCGTCATGGCAGTACTGACCTGTGGTAACTTGGCGGAGTGCAGGAGGCCTAGCCAGGGCCACGAGCTCTGTGGAACTACCTGCCAGACACACAGGGTAGGAAGGAGAAACGGGCCTTGACTGTTCTGCCAACTCAAGCTGCAGCAGTCAAACTCAGCTGCTTTGTCCCATATGTGTTTCATGTGTGAGGAGGACCCATATTCCTCTGAACCTGCCTATGTTTTCATGATGGCTGTGCCTGGCAAGAATTTTACTCTGAAGGAACGGCCCAGAAGGAGGAAGCACTGCAAAGTATGAACATGTCCAGCAAGATTACCAACACTTTACCCTAGAGACCTAGATCCATATATGACCTCTGCATCTTCAGGTATCAAAATGCTGCTGCCTATTGAAAACATTGTGTCTGATTTCAATCTGTCTGCTAGGAAGACCTGCCATTGATTAGAGAACAATAAATGAATGTATATGACTGATATGGGTCTGCCAAACAATTGCTTATTTTTACAAGCACCTAAATTGCACATGCAGGACATAGCCCTGGCATTGTACTTTGCATATCTGCAGACCATAAGAGACAATGATTGCAGGGGAAGTCTTAATGCCAGCAAGGCACATGCAAGCTGAATGAGTGCAAAAGAACCAGAGGTAACTTGTGCTGGAAGGTAAAAAGGCAGCTCATTTACTGGAAGAACGGAGCATTAGGAGAAAGGCAGTGGCTAAGAAGCCATTCTCTATCCTACTTGCAACATGCTGCAGCAAGAAAAGGACGGAAACAGAATAAATAGCTTTTGGACTAATTCAATCGTTTTTGCGCTGTGGTGAGTACTGGGAGGAAGCGGGCATGAGGAAGGAGAGATGTCATACCTACATGCCAAACAGAACTTGGGTACTTACATTCCTCTTTCCACAGAAAACTGATCGGTGGGCCACTATCCTACAACTCAAACTTTCACTGATCTTCTTTATAACCTGCCAATTTCAGATACTAAGCAGTTAAACATAACGGCAGAAGATATGTCATTGCTGTTTACAGATGGATACAATTCACGATCCAGAAAATGCTATTTCTTGATGTTTTCTGCATTCCTAACTCACCTAACATATTACGTTAAAACTTACATTCAAGATATAATGAGCTGTGTTGAAAACAGTGGGAGTGCTATTTCCCACACTTGCAGTTATGCAAAAAATGTACCTCTTTCTCTCTGACTTTTTGTACCTTCCCAGGCATGATACAGCACCAACTACTACTACTTTGCTTGAACCCAGATCTGTTCTGTTTAAAAGAGCCTGATACATGTATCTTTTCCAAATAAGGAGATAAACAGTGCCTGGGAGGAGAGCATCTAGTCCCTAAAAGCATCATAATTAAAAGTTGCAAAGAAAATCCCAGTGCCCCTTACTGCTACATACCTGACTGGAGATAGAAGGGATTTATAACAATCGAAATCACCTCAACATTTTCAATTACAACCCGGAACAAGTCCAAATCCTAGCTGCCAAAAACTTGTGGTTGGTAGATCTTGCATTTGTAATGTGAAATCACATAGAGAGCTACCTCAGAAGACACCAAACAGCTTAATTCAAGCACGAGCAAGAGCTTGGACAGATCCACATATCCCGCTAAGTTCATCACTAAACACTGCAAGGCACCAAGGCAATTCTAAAATGAGTTTGATTTCTAACTGGAAACTAGTTAGATTCATCCAGTGAGGATAAACTGCAGACCTAATAAGTTCTTTGAAGCCTAAGATGTGTAATGGAACTTAGAGGAGCTTATAAGAGAAATAAATCTGACAATGCTAATCCAAATAAAAGGTTCGAGCAACTGACTACCACTTCTGACACATTGCAGAGGAACAGAAAAGTCTTCACAAAGGCCCCAGTCTATTTATACTGGGGACTTGGTTGTCAGTTCCCTCTATCACTTGTTCTGAGATTCAACTTGTGATTACTAATACTTTCAGTCTGCACTAACTGTATCTACCGTAAGAATTAGCAGGGATAAGCTGCAGGCATTCATATTTGCGTGGGGAACAACTGACACATTCAGGTATTCCATTTGGGAAAGCTGGACATTTCTGCTAAAACGATCGCACTGAAAGTAACCAAAACCATTGGTATTTAATTCACTCCCTTTTGACTCCTGGGTTGATATTTCCATCAAGAGTAATGCAGCTACTCGAGCTCTTAGTGAAACTGTGTCAGGCTCTCTGGAGATTCAAGATGACACCACCCGTATAGTTCTTTCTGCTTGTTTTCTACACCAGCCAAAAGGGAAGGAAAGAGTTCACCTGCTCTTTGAGAAGATCCAACTCTGGAACACAGGTCTGTGGAAAACTCTGTGGCAATGCTTTATACTACAGCTTTGAAACAATAAGCTTCAGGTAAGTGCATCCACAGATGCAAAGTCCCTACCTCCAACTGCTCATCCTATTGACAGAGAAAAATCTACTGCAAGTCCTCCCTTCTGAAGGGGAAGCACAGAAACTGGTAACAAAAAAGTGCAAACTGTCTGCACCATTACAAAAATGCTTACTTAGACACTACAGTACCCCTCCTTAATATTAAAGGGAGAGGAGAAAAAAAAAGTTAATTTACCCCAGTGTGATAGACCCAGAAACACCAGCAATTGTCCTTCGCAGTTACTTGTCTGGGAGTAGTTAGCATGCTTAAAATCAGTAGCCTTTATGCTGGGAAAAGCAAGGGTTCTCTGCAGAGTTCTTGAAACAACAGTGCAGGGAAGGAGACGGGTGTCATCTACTAGCCAGGAAAAGCACTGAAGTTTCAGATCTACTTTTAAGCTCAGGTGGTGCAGTTTGGCTGCTGCTTGAGCCAAACTCTAATTACCAAAAAGGAAAGACACATTAAGAGAAAAGAAAGCAAGGAATAAAGTCATGCAGAAAATCTGTGATCAAGCCAGGCACTGAACTGAGGTCTATGGATTTCTAGTCTAATGTCTCTTCGCTTTCACTTGCAGAATTTTTAACAAACTTAGAAGGGAGAGTTTGCAGAAGGAGACACATCTTTTAGCCTTCTTCTTTACTTGAAATAAGTTCTGCTGAAAAGAATATAGAGTGCATTCTCCCTGCTCGTGGGCAGCACATCTCCATCCATAAATGGCCTATTCTTGCCTCTGAGGGAACAGGAGCCTTCTGCCCGAGCGTGTGAGGAGAATAGCTGCCTTGCTACTCAGCCGCTACCTGATGCACTCTCCCCCTCCGCCCCCCTGCCACTTCATCTGGGATAGGTGGGAGGAGAGAAAAAGAGGTGAAGTCAGAAAAAATGTTCGTGTTCACCCATGCCCGTTATTATAACACTGCAGGGCCACATACAAGAATAAGCCTGCAAGCTGCTAGAGAAGGATGGAAAGTAAAAATATCAGATTGCAAGACAAACTGCTTCCCCCTCCTCTCGTTCTACAGGAGGAAGACTGGCCAGCTAAGGAGTTGCAAATCTGATCCGATTCCCAACCAGTCTTTGATGCTATGAGTTTGCCGATCTGCTCTATAAACTTCAGGCTTCAGACAAAGCCTTAAGGTTTTCCCTCTTTTCTCTGGTTTAGATGAGCTTTCCAGATGCTGTGATATTTCAACACTCCAACAGGCACTGTGTAGTAACTGACTGGCTGCCACAGGAAACTGGCCCAATGACAAGTGCCAGTACCACCTGGATAGACCCTTGATTCTTAAGGCCGTGGTACAGCACAGTTCCTGCAATGAAAGATGTCCACCAGTCTCAATTCTTCTTTCGGACAGAAGAATATGGGGAAGGTGAAGAGAATCTTAGTCACTTTCTTGCAGCTTCCATGAAAACAAGCAAAACAGGAACCAGTGTTTCCTATTATCTATCTGTTAAATTGTAATGCAAAAAATGGACCCATATCCCACTATCAGTGGTGGGATACATGTTCATCATGATTATTTATGCCACAGGTGCCTGTTAGGATAGGCTGTACAGACACGGGCATGTAGTGAGACAAGAACAAAAGATTAGGAGGTTTTATCTAAAACCTTAATTTAATATAGACTCAAATTCTACTAGAAGCATGTAACAGGTTATATAAGGTTTACAGGTCCTTTTTTTCAGCAGGCTAACACCTTGAAGTCTCTCTTGCTTCTTTGGCCATTCCTCTTTCATTCACTCAGAAGTTTGAGCTGGCAGAACAAAGCTGGAAATGGGAGCACTCACCAGCAAAGTTCTGGGTCATGTTTTGGTTTCTTTTCATTCAAGAGTTTTTAGACACACCAAGTTGAAAAGAAACATACATTTCACTAAAGTTTCAAGGTAAAATGTTTTTCTTCAGTTAGGTTTCTGGAAGGTACCACTTATCAGTCATGAAAAAGAAAATATCCAGAAGCTTCCTACTTTATTAAATCAATGTTCTGAAAAGGCACTTGTGAAACTGACTTTCAGACTGAACCAGGACGGCCATGATGAACTTTCAGAGTAATTCTTAACTTATTGCTACTGCTTGCATTCAGTAGAAAAAATGGGGGTTTGGTAAGAACTAGATAAGGTTTTTGTGTTATTAAGCACAATTCAAAAAGAGAATTTGCTTTTTTTTCCCCTGTGGACAGTGCAGTCTGCTCACCTGAAAATGTGTTTGTGCTACAGGCCTGAAGTGCAGAGACAAAACAATCGTAGTCCTGTTGCCCAGAAGACAATTCATGACAAAATATGATTATCTAGAGAAGAAGAGAAAAATGAGAAAGTGAAAAACAAAACTCAAAACCTTCTCAAAGTTCCCTGCCTCCAAGTGATCGATAAGAATTGGGAAAGCACAGTTTTACATGACAGGACCGAAGGGGGAAGGATGCAGTCTCCACCACAAACTGTTTGATTGAAGGGTGAGAGCAGAAGACTTCCTTTGGGCTGCTACCAAACTCTTCCTTCCTGGGAGGACCCAGATGCTCAGTACTCCTCCCAGACCTAGAGTCCTACGCAGTACTTTTGGTTATACCCAGCCCAGCTAGTAAGAAAAAGTAACTTATTTGATCATCTCACCAGACCTCTAGCCTGTAAAAATCCATATGCAACATGAGAGCTGCATGGGCAAAAACAGTTCACAATAGGCTTTGCTGACACCACTCTAGATCAGGTGTAAGCCCTGCTTACATGGGAATAAAAGGAAAATCAAACACTCAGGCTCTTTGCTCCAGAAAGACACGTCTCCCACTTCAGCAAAAGAAGAACTGCTAGGAGCCATCAGCAGCAATAAGAGATTGTCATATAAAGCAACCTTATGGAAAGTATACGACAGTTACTGTACCATCTGCTCAGGTCTGATTCTCCTCCAATACTGGCTATAAACTTCTATGCCTCTACTGATAATGAGGGAGTTATTCTTAATTTCCAGTTCAAGAACAGACTTATGCCCTTGTGCACATATAAATTGTACTCCCACTATTAAATAAACAAGAGGTGTATTCTTAATGGCTCTATCAAGGCTTGCAGGTTTTAAAAATAAGACATGCTGTTAAGCACTGTCCTTTTTTCTTTTCTCCTGAGAAACATGTCAAGTTATAGCGTATGCTATTTCTCATGGCAGCTAGGGACCCTAGAGCAGGATCTTTGCTTCAAAACAATTAAAATATTAAATCTGGTGTCAAAGTACAGCTCTTAAAAGTTGAACGCAGACCCTTGGTGGGCAGAGGCAGTGAATATTAACTTCCATCACACCCACACATAATTAGCATTTGCTATCCTTCAATCAGGGCTCTATTCAAAGATTCTTTTGTTTTTGTACAAGGCTCTTCCCTCTTTTCCTGCTAAGCCCTTTACAGAAGGTCATTCTGATTACTGCCTAACAATTAACTGCAGTCCCCTCCTTTTTTTTTTTTTTTTTTTTTTAAGAACACATTTCTTTGTTATGTTTTTTTTTGTGTTTTTTTTTCCTCCAGTGAAAGTTTTCAAGTGCCTGGAGATAAATTTGGGGGTGGCTTTAGCTTTTGTAAACAGACAGTAAGTTGACTTTCAGCTGAGTTGGTTGTCCCACACCATTCCCAGCTTTCAAACTCCCTTTAATACTGAAAATGGAAACCCACAAAGCAGCTCTGTAATTCCATAGCTAAAATAAAGAGCTACGGCTTTGACTGCTCATGAATCAGCCTTGCACAGACAAAACAGCTACGGAAAACTGCCAACCACGCAACAGAGATGCAGATTTACATACGTAGGGTTGAATTCTCTTTTTGAAACAGGATGACCAACTCTCCCCTCCCAAATCATCATTTTTGTGCTTTTAAACTTCAACTAGAAGATATGCTTAAAAGTGCCTGCTGCATAAACAAAAACCAGCAGCAATAATTTAAAATCAAACAGCTTCTGTGATACAAGGGTCAATTAGAAAATTAAAAGAAATACGTGCATTTTGGTTTCATGCATTTTTGAAAATATGCTGTATTCATAATACTGTTTTTTGTACTAATGTTAGCACACTTGTATTGCTTGATAAAATGCAAATTTCTTCCCATAAATGAACTTCTGCAGCTCTGACAGCAAACCCATTGTGTGTGTTTCTAATTTTTCTTGAATGACTTAGTAGCCTGGTGTCCTATGAGTTTTAAATCTGCTTTTCACTCTTTTCTCAAAAGAGTGTTTGCAGCACTTTGAAGCAGATGGGCGATATGCTGGCCTCCTGCCAGTTTCAAACGTGAACATTCTGATGTCATTCATCTGACTGGAGCCTGCTTTTCTAAGTGACTAAAATCTTATTCCTTGCAGCCTTCAGCAAAGGCATTAGGTAAGCCACTATCACATTCAACCGTTACTCCAAAGAAATTTTTTCCTGAGCAAAGTAAATCATATTAAGGTCAGTCTCAACAATCATCTTCAGCCACAAACCTGATAAATACCTCAAGGTTATTATCCCAAGTATAAACATTTCACTTTCTTTCAAGGATTTAAAAAGGCTATACTTATACTATTCAGCTTACTCCGAAAGCAGTGGTATAATTCAGATACTATCAATTAGGTTCCAGAATAAGCAATTGGATGGATAAAGGTGTAGACACCTAGAAAAAGAATGTTCATACAGTTTTATCCCTGTACTACAGCATACTATTTCACCCTAGGCAACTCCATTACAGGCACAAACGTACAGCTTGGACAACTAAATGCCCTTGCTTCCAGTTCACTCTTCTGCTACCTCTGTAAATGCAGCCTCATCTTCGGGGCATGCTTAGGTTAAAATGTGACAAGTATAATGGTATCATTAACCTCCCCTTCTCTTTAGTCAACCATGCAGTAGCACAAAAAGGGAACACGGCATCTAGAGGAAGATAATAGTCCGCATTGTTTACTTGTGTCCAGTCTATAAGGGTTCCTATACTACCTGTTCTCATTAAGGCAGGTACACAGCCTTAAGTAGAGCACTAAGAAACATAACAAATTCTATCTTCTCATCCTCTTCCCAGAGGCAGAAACATGTACAGGGGAATGTTTTGGCTAGATACATAAACAGACATGCGCAAGTTGTTATGGATCTGTCAGAGAAGGTGAGATTAAAAAAAAAAAAAACACACCCTGTGTTAAGAGAAGATGATGAGCTTTGCAATTTTTCTGTGAGGATTTTGCACTTCTCACCTGTAGTCAAAACTTTGCTATCTCTGCAAAACAATCCAAAGAATCAAAACTCTCAGTGCATTTCTGCATCCCAGGGCTCTGCTTGATCTGACAAGATGACTGTACCTCTTACTACATAGACTCATTTTACAATATCATAGCAAGAGATGACATTAACCAGCAGGTCTGCAAGGCAGTGAGCAAAGCTGTGTGAAAATACTATTTTGGGTCTTGCAGCAGTGTAGCATTTCTGCTTTCAGTTCCAGGGACAGCTTGGTCTCAGCTAGCCAGGGGATTTTTGCACTATTCTCCAGCAAACAGTGTGGACATGCTCTTAGGTACCTTGGATCCAAACCATTCTGGAGAGGACTGCAATGTGATCTGATATCCTATGGAAGCAGGTGGCAAGTCTCATGAGTTTCTGGGATGCAGAGTTGCCAAGAGGTACACTGTTAAAACCTCCCTTGTTACAGGTATAATGGTCTCACAGTACCTCCTATTCCGAGGATGAAAAGACAATGATCCATTTTATCATCTCATCTATGCAACATGAACTGGGGCTGTTGAAAAATGTTCTTGTTTTTCAGGCCTTAATTAAAGCGTTTCTTTCTTTTCAGGAGCTCCTTATTTCATAATACCTATAATTCAGGTCATTGCAAATACAGCAAATCATATTCTTAGGGACTTCTAGTTGTCCTACTGTTTTGTTCCCACATTAAAACATCGCTCATTTCCCATAAAATTCAGCACTGGTTTAATGTACTCCAGAGTAAACATAGTCAAACGCCTTACATAGTGTGTTACTTATGAAGTGGGCGACAACTTTTTTTTTTTTTTTTTTTTAAAAAGTGATACCTCACCCACAGCTATACTCCTGGAATGCTATCCAGGACACTCCACATGCGATATCAGAAAATGCCAAACCCCTCATACCACATCTCTTCCCACACTGAGGTATGCATCTGACTTCTATAAGAACAAGTTAGACCTGTACTGAGGAATCTTGGAAATCTTTAACCTCTAAGGACCAATGCATAACTATCAAACCAAACCCACGTCTACGTTCTGAGCAGACGCCAGACTAAAAGATGTTTTTCCTTGCACCCCTCAACTCTCAGTAACAAATATGTGCAACCTGTTCTCTTGGTCCTTTTTACTGAAGCTATTAATTTCGCTGTGAAGACCATAAACAAAATGGACAAGTGAGCTACGCTTTGCCTTGCCATGTCTACGCCAGATAGAAGTATTGCAATCTATTTCAAATATGCCAGACAGAGAGACATGAAAGACAAAAGATGAAATACCAGGTTCTGCCTTTCCAGGATAATTCTAACAGTATGCTCCACTATATTCCATGTACTGACCTTTCATCTCTACAGATCATGAAAGAGTCTTAAAAACTGAGAAGATATAGCATCACTGAAATCATACGCGTCTCCAACAGGAAGACTTCAGTACTTCAGTAGCACACAGGAAAACCACAAGAACAAAGGAAGCTTCACCTAGATGTCCTGGCAAAGGAGATTCAGAACCTGCCAGCACCAGTGAGCACACGGCAGTACGGGGAGCAAACAGGGAGGAGCCATTTTGAGAGCCCCTGCACAAACACACAACAAAAGAAGAATGACCTACTCTGAAAAGCTTTCTGTATTTATCTTAATCTCCCACAGAAAGCATAGGAAACGGAAGGCGTTTAGTGTCTTTCAGGAGTGTCATCCCTCTTCCTGAAAGCCTGCAAAATTGGTTAGAAAAAATTTGCAGTGAATTCAGCA